TTGGATTGCGGGTCTCTCGTTAAGCATGTTTATAGTTTATATACGCTGCGGGTGGTGATGCATGAATGATCACAAAACACTCGTGGAACCGAGTACCATGTGCGTCTGTCGACGAAAATGTCTCGCGTATATGATGGCGATAACGCGGTGAATTCTTCACCGACCGAGGACCTGGGGCACAAACATTGCGTCCAGAGGAAGGTTACTTATGGAAGGAAGGGGCAGACGCTGGGCATTCCTCAGCAAAAAAAAGTAAGAAAAAAAGTATCATAGGTGTGGCGGAAGGAGGATGGGATCCGGTTGCCCCGGTGGAGTTAGAGTTTGTCCGACTTGCCAAGGTGAGCCGAAAAACCCCGACAGGTAAAAAGGGAGGCAATCGATAGCAGCACAGGTGCTTGAAAAAAAAACGGGCAAAAGTCTCGCTAAGACATGCAGGCCAAGTCTGCACATGGCCGGCCCAGGAGGAAAAAGGGAGATCACATGTTGAATGCGGGGATAGATTGCTTTTTTGTCTCTCAGACTCTTTGATCATTTCGTACTTTCCACTCTGCCAGTCGGTGTCGGGCCGTGTCTCGATGGTTGCATGCAGACAATATCGAAAACCCAGACAGGAGGGGCCTTACATTGGTACCTCGCATGGGACTTTTACCTGAGTTCCATGGCGCGGATAAGACGCAAACCGCATGTCCGGAACGGGCTCTAGGGTAAGATTGCGCATCCCACGGAACTCGGAACCCTGGTCATCCTGCTCGGTGTGGTGTGGTGTGGTGTGGAAGGGGGCCCCGCGTTCCCCCAGGCTAAAGGTTGTTCCTCCTGCCCTTCCTGGGAACGTAGCCAATGTCGGTGCTGGGATATCGAGGCGCGTTCTGCGGTGTAACGCTGCCCACCATATGCGACGCGGGTTGGGGGAGGGGTCTTGCCTGATGGGACAGTGTCTTTCCCAACCCTTCCCCCTGCTCCGAAACGACAGCCATCTCGAAGTGTTTGGTTATGTTTGGTGCCTAGGTTGGATTTGTGCAACGTGGTGTGTATTAATGTACACGTAACCCTCCACGGCTCAGCCGCCGACGTCTTGCGTAGCGAGGGCATTACACCGAGCTTGATTCGATGTGTCCAAATCCTACCAACGTGCAAGCCCAGCAGTAGCGGTCTGGGAAAACAGGCTGGATGTCGCGGCATTTCCTCAAACCCCCGTCTTGTGGTCTCGTCCCGTGGGGGGCATTGTCTCATTCATTCGGGATGATGATTGTGACGTCCATTGGCGGTGGGGAAAAGTCGACAATCGTCATCATGGATACTTTGGCGGGTTGCATTTCCGCGTCAATCTCTCTCCCAACGTCTTGTTCCCTCGGCACGCCCGGATCAAAAAAAACGGAACACTTTTCAATTTTTGCCCGGGCGTGCTCGGGCCTGGTTGGGGAAATGGAGCTCAAAAAGCCGTCGAGGGTGTCGTTGACACGAATCAGCGGCCCATGTTTAGCGTTGGTTCGCATTATCATTCATTGTAATTTGATGTCCCGCTCCTGGAGCTGGAATGATGGAGCGAAGCGATGCGGCTGGAACCTTGGGCGGCCTCGTCGTTTGCCAGCCTCAACAGCCCAGGGCTGGCATCCGCCGAGCGAGTGACGGGCTGATGATGGGTGTGGTGATGATGATGGTGATGGTGATGGTGATGGTGATGGTGATGGCTGGCGCATGCACGCCACATCAGCGCGTCAAGTCAGTGAGTGTGTTGTCTGGCGTTGGGCAACGAAATGTGCCTCCTTTCAGGCCCCAGAGTCAGGCCAGGGCAGCGGCTGTGCTCGCTGTGCCACTGTGAGCAATGATGGTGACTTGGCACCCGCCTCCCACCAGCAGCCCCCAGCAGGGCCCTCGTTGATCCCCCATGCAAGTCGCAACTCTGCCACGCAGCCCCGGCCTTCTCGTGCACCAATCGAGCAAGGCGCCCTTTTTCCCGACCCGCACCAACACCCCAATTGAGGGACCCTCGAGGACACTGGCTCGACTGGACCCGTCTGCCTCGACTGTCTCGACTGGCTCAACCCCTGTGGAAACGACTCCCTGCCTCATCAAGGGGCTGCCCTCGGCGACCCTTTTTCTCCCTCTCCTCGAACGCTAGACGCTCAATTGATCGACGCGAACTCCCTCGGCTGGCTTCTGTTTTCACCACTGCCGTCCGCTCTTTTTTCTCTTCCTCTTATTTTGTCTTGCTGACCGATTGTCGTTCATTCTGGTTCCTCGAATTCGGGCCCTACTCTATCCGAACCCCGGCCGTGCGTGCTGGAACAACCGCCGACGACAAACGCGCTCACGAAGAGACGAATCCGCTGGGGCCGCGGGCGACTGAGCAACACCGACCGACCGAACCACGCTGTAGAGCACAGCACAGCGCAGCACGCAGCAGCTCGACGACTATTGCACGTCCGACCGGTGCATCTCAAAAGGCACCAGATCGCGGCCGAATCCTGTTGAAACGGGCGACGGACTTGCACGCTAGCCTTGGCGCCCTCGCCCAAGAGCCAGTCACACACCACCAGACCCGGATAGCCCAAACAACCGAACTGGGGGAAAAAGGGCACACTTGTCTCTCGCCTCGCGCACGCACGAGGTTCTCTTCCAGCTGCCGTCCGCACCTGCGTCATCTTCCTCTGGACCCGAGCGTGGACCAGAGCGAGAGGGAGGGGGTGACACGGACTCGCGTCAGATCACGCAAAGGAAACACCAAAAAACGACTTGCGTCCCTGCGCGCGCTTGCTGCTGGACACCTAATAAGCACCTGCCTCTCGGTTCCAGCTTGGCGGTGGCCTTGCAGTGCATCCCGATTGTCCTAGTCTGGTCAGCCTGGGTGTATTGGTCGATTTGTCTTCCCGCCTATATAGATCTACCTTCCGGTTGCCACAGCCCCTCGACGGTTCTGCCGCGTTGCATGCCCGGTCAACGTCGCTACCTAGGTAACTAGCGCCAGCGCCCGCGCCGAGGCAGGCGAGCTAAACGAAACAACCAAGTCGTCAATCTCTCCCCGACGCGATCCTCATCAAACCGTCGAGCCCTTATGTGTCCGCAACAACAGTTCCTACGAATCCAACTATACCGCCCCGACCCCCACATCACACAGGTCTACAACCCCGGAGGAGACATAGGAATAGACGGAAACCGAGGGAAATAGGGAGGGGAATCAGCGAGAGAGTGCCGCTTCTCGTGGCTGTAGAACCGACCAGAGTTTCGGGGGGATCATCACGACCTTCGAATCATGTCTCTTGGAGTGGCAATACAGTCGGCGGTTTTCTACGTCGTCGCCTGTACACCATGCACCACCTCAAGACACAGGGGCAAGGCCAAGGCCAAGGCAAAGCGGGAACGGTTGGAAAAGGACCGGTTGGAAGCCGAAAACCCCGGTCTATACCGACAACCGAGCCCCTTCAACACCAGCCCCCATTGGGATGAGGAGATCATGATGGGGCCCAGCTTACCCAAGAAGTCTAGGAGTAACAACAACAACAACAACGCCAGCCAACGCAGGTTAACAACCTCATCCTCCTCAGGAAGGGAAACAGCCGTCAGCAGCAGTACTCTTGCCGTCGGACAGACACCGATGCCAGGCATGGTACATACGCCAAGCACCAAGCTCGGGCCGAACCCAGGGAGCAGTTCGACTATGGCGCCTGACGACTCGGGGAGCATAGCCGCAGGAGGTTCCGAGAGTTGGAACCTGAAGCTGTACCAACGCGAGGACGAGGAGCTTTGGGGTGACCAGAACTCGAGCATACACGGCGATGACGATGGCGATGTTGCGAGGACAGGCCATAAAAAGATCATGGATGCCATCGCCAAGGCCAGCTCGTCGGCTGGTAGGCTGCTGGACTCGACACTGCTGGGCGGCAGCGGCAAGGAGCGCGGTACCGAGACGCGCGAGGTCACCAACGAGGATCGCCGCAACTTCTATTCTCCCTCGTCCCCGACTCGCTCGTCCACTTCCTCACATGGCAGCTACGCTCCCGTCAAGAACCCTCCCGTGAACGACTACCACCCCCCAGTGGTCAGCTCGCGCCCTGCGCACCGGGACGGCCGCAGATGGATGCTGCAGCCGCCGCCCCCCGTCAAGGTTATGGAGGCCAAGGTGCCTGTAAGCCGGAGCGCCAGCATGGCCAGCACAGTCAGCCGCCGGAGTGCTCTTTCGCCATCGGCCGCGTCGGCGTCGGATGTCCATCTCGGGCGGGTCGTCGGGGAGAGGCTTGTGGGTGCCAAGATCAAGGGAGGCGAGCTGCCGTTCCCAGGAGCTTCGGCAACGGTCGATGGCAGGGTTGGCTCCCCGGGATCTCTTGGGCTGCCCAAGGCGAGGCGACCCCGGAGGGCGACTGGTTCATCCTCGCGCTCCAAGCTGAGTCAACACAGCCGCAGGAGCGGGAGCGTATCAAGCGATTCGGATCATGGCGATTTCTCGGACGGAGGCAGGCCATCCTTCACTGGTTCGCCAAGGAAATCAACGAGCAACGTCAAGACGTACTCGGCGACAGCACGGCGACAGGCGGCCACGTCGGAGGACGAGTCAGGCGGCGTCTCGGAAGGCCATGCCCACGCGGCTCAACGGCCGAAACTTGAAACGATAGTGAGCTCCGACCGCGCCTCAGCGGCTGAAGAGCAGAAGACGCCAAAGGGCGCCAAGGCCGACGAGGTCCAAGAGCGCCCGGCCGGCGCATCCATGGACAGCGGGCTCGCGCTCTCGCTGGCGTGAAGGCCTCTCCTGTTGGCGACCTCTCTTCCACGAAGCATGACGAACAGATCCCCTCACTTTAGCTGCTGGACCAGACTGCAGACATGGCGATCACCCAAACCCATCTAACGCACGACTTGAACGTCTCTTTTCTTGGACACCTTGTACATTTACCGGCCAACCTGCCCTTGTCATTTATTATCGCCCCGACCTCCTATCCGCCACCAACCCTCCCCTTTCCTATGTAATTTCCTCTGTCTAGCATTCTACGGGTGTCTGCGCTTGTTAAAGCAACGGGTCATGTCATTAGCATTTTCACTAGCAACGGAGTTTCCATTCCTTTTTTTGTTCCCTTCTTTATCTCCTTTTTAGTTTGGACAAGGTTGTGTTTTTTTTTTGGCTTTGGCTTTGGCTTTGGCTATGGTCCCAACTGGCATGCATTGACGGCAATTATCATTTCGTCACCCGACATGGAAGCTTACTCCTCTCCATTGATAGAACGAAGGTGATGAGTCGGCAGAATTCATTGTCAAAAGGTGTGATATCGTTCTGTATGCCTACTTACCAGCTGGCGCTATGCACGAACGGACGAAGACAGGAGTTACGTTGGAAGCCCATGTTGGTCTATTCTGTACTTTTGGTTTGCTGGCTCGTTTACAGGCCATGGTGCCAGCTGGCGGGATCGAGGAAGGGGATGAGGGGCGTGAAGAAGCAACGGGGGTAAATAAGATGCGCAATCAGCAAAAGAAAAACAGGCGGTAAAGCCCAATACCACCAAGTTAAAGCCTGTTCTGGGTCTTTTTCGTTATGCGGTCGTGCGGCTGGCGACGCAGTGTGCGACCTTGGCGGGAACAAGTGAAGCCATCGGCCAGCCACATCAGCTGGCGTCTGGTATATCCCCCCGCACTTGTCTCGACGCAGCTGGGTCGTGAATGGCCCGGGGATCCATGGGATCTGCATGCCACCTAGCATCCGGGACCGGTCAAGGCCACCTGCTTTTGAGTGCACATGTACCACGCCTTGAATTTGAATCAGCTAAGCAGCCCCTACGGCCGGACATTTATTGAGCTCCCCAGAGCCCCATATCGTCCCTCGAATCCTCCCCTCCCCCCATTCCCCGCAACGCAAGCGGTCCGCCTCCGCCTCCTCCTCCTCCTCCATCCGTGCCCCTCCCGAGTACGGGCGCCCATATCGGGTATTTATTTCGACGGCGCTTTTTGCTCCCTCGGTCTAGAACACGCGAATCCATCAGGCCTTGTGTCTGGCCACCCCCCCGCCGTTGGGCACGAAAGGCAAAGAGCGGCCAAAACGAGACAATAAAATCGGAACTCTCCTGTGCCAGCTCCCCCCGTCGGCGTCGACAACTATGGGCTCCACCGAGTCCGACAGCCAGGACGAGCTGACGGTGTTAGTCACTGGCTTCGGGGTGCGTAGCCCCTTCGGGCCGAGCCACGGCGCCCCATCCCTGCCTTGCCCAGCATTGAAGCGTCCCGTGCCTTTGTTTCTTTTGTCTGTTTCTTATTTTCAGGAGGGGGGGTTTTGATTTAGGCTTTTGCGATGCCGGGGGTGGTAGGGGAAATACTTGAGGTCAATTCAATAAACCAAAAAAAAAATGGCATGTGCAAACTGACGGATCCTCCTCAATCTCCACCTCGGCCTCTCGTTCTCCCCGCCGCTCTGCCCCTCCCGCAACCCAAATCAAACAGCCGTTCAAAGCCGACTTCCCGCGCAACCCGGCATGGGAGATCACAAAGGAGCTGCCCGACTACCTGCCGCCGCCCTTGCCCAAGTCGGCGCGGTTCCAGCGGCGGCACGGCGACGGCCAAGGGGGGCCGGCGCCGCCGCTCCCGACCGTGCGGATCCGAAAGCACCCCGAGCCGATCCGCGTCAACTACCAGGTCGTGCGCGCGCTGGTGCCGACGCTGTGGGACGGGCCGTCGGCGGCGGTAACTGGTGGGGACGACGAGCAGAAGGAGCAACAACAGCAGAAAGGTGAGGAGGAGGAGGAGGAGAAGGAGGGAAATTCCACTGCGGCGACGACGACGACGACGACGACGACGACGGTGGGAGACGGCAACGGCAAAAAGCCCAAGATCGACCTGCTGCTGCACCTGGGCATGGCGGGGCCCCGGCCCTACTACTCGATCGAGCGGCGCGGCCACCGCGACGGGTACCGCGGGCGCGACGTCGACGACGAGCTGCTCAACGACGAGGAGCGGCACCGGCAGGAGCGCGAGGGGTGGGTCTGGCACGGGCTGCCGCACGACCTCGAGACGGACCTGGACCTCGAAGACGTGGTGCTGCGGTGGAGGGGGTACAGTCCGGTGAGTTGCTTTTTCTATTCTTTTTTCTATTCTTTTTTCTATTCTTTTTTCTATTCTTTTTTCTATTCTTTTTTCTATTCTTTTTTCTATTCTTTTTTCTATTCTTTTTTCTATTCTTTCGTTCATTTCCATGTTGGTCCCCGATCTCCAGTGTGGGATAAAGAATAATAACAAAAAAAAATCCAACACCACCCAGTGGGATTCCGACCTCAGGGTGTCGGGCGACGCGGGCAGGTACCTGTGCGACTTCATCTACTACAGCAGCCTGGCGCACCTGTACCGCGCGGGCGAGTACCGCCGCGTCGTCTTCCTGCACGTGCCCGCCGACCTGTCCGAGGAGGCGCTCGCGCGCGGTCTCGACCTGACCATCCAGCTCATCCGCTCCCTGGTCGAGAGCGAGGTCATCAGGAAGGGGCGGCGCGGGCGCGCGGGGGAGGTAGAGGGGGAGAAGAAGGAGGGGGAGGGTAGCGGGTGATGGGAGACGGGAGCAGCCCCGTGCTCGTTATTTGGTGTTTTGGGATTCAATATTGGTCGCAGGGGTGAGAAGAAAAAATAAGAGATTTGCGCTTGGAGATCTGCCCGTGGCCCAAGCAAAACTGTTCAAAATGCTCGGGTTTCCCATAGACGAGTCAATGGATACTATTCCCCAAACAGAACAACACACTTATTCATGTGGGGTAACAAGCCAAGTCCGAGGCAAATTTCTCAGGATCCACCTCATCAAGGGACGGGAGCATACATTGCATCATCCACCAAACAGGTCCAGTGGCCAAATGGCAAGGCGCTTGACTACGAATCAAGAGATTGCAGGTTCGATCCCTGCCTGGATCGTTTCGGATGAGCGCAGTTGAGAAATTGCGATTCTTTTTGTTGTTTGTTGCTATTGCTCATCCTGTCTGTGATACATCATTTTTTGTGAGTGAATCGTCAAAGCACACAATCATTGAAAATTTCCTCGTCGTTGGGCTTCGGCTTCTCCCAGCGACTCAACCCTCACCCTCGACATCGTCCGAAATGACGTGCATGGCGAACCGTCGAGATCCGATCTATCGGGTCCCACAAGATTGACGAGCCCGTCCCGCACCAGTCGGTGGTGAGGGTGAACGAATTGGGCCAACAAGACAGCCAAAAGTGAATCCCTCACTGTTACAGAGTCGAGAGAATTGTGGCAGGCGTGGCCTTGGTTTGCACACCTCACCACTGTAGCGAGATGACTAATGTTGCTCACCCGCCTTCACTGCTTGACCGTTTGCAATGGTCACTGAGCTGTCCCAGCTTGAACGCCCAGCGCCCCGCTGATAAAGATGGCTGTGCATAAATTGTTGGCGCCTTTGACGGCGGGGCCGGGCAAGGCTTCCCCGCTGCCAGCCTCGACAAAGACGGCCCAAGCCAACGTCGAGACAGCCTGCTCCTTTGTCCGCTGTTGACCGCAGGGACCCCTGTACACGCCTATAAACTCGGATCGACAGTTGTAGGTATCTCGAATCTCGCCCAGCCTTCGGGCACACCACACTTGTCTGCACAATACCCAGGGGCAGCTACAGCTACCCTTTTCACACAACATCCCTACTCACCACACAACCACCACCACAATGTCCACCACACCAAAGCACCGCGTCATCATCGACACGGACCCGGGCGTCGACGACGTCCTGGCCCTCCTGCTGGCCCTGAGCGCATCGCCCGAGGACCTCGAGGTGGCGCTCATCTCGGTCACGTACGGCAACGTGCCGCTGCACGGCTGCCTCCGCAACGCCGTCGCGCTCTTCCACGTGCTCGAGAAGGAGCTGGAGTGGCGCCGCGAGACGGGCCGGCCCGAGGGCTTCGGCGCCCTGCGCGCCTTCAGGCCCATAGTCGCCGTCGGCGCCGAGCACCCGCTGCAGGAGGAGGCGCTCGCCGCCGACCACTTCCACGGCGTCGACGGCCTGCACGGCGTGCACGACACGCACCCGGACCTGTCGCCCGCCGACACGTGGCGCTCTCTGTTCCCCGGTGCCGCCGGTGCTGCTGCTGACGTCTCTGCTGCTGCCGATGCTGATGCTGATGCCGATGCGGAACCCCCGTCCTTCAGCTCCTTCTTCACCCCGAGCAGGACCCCGGCGCACCTCGAGATGCTCCGCATCCTGCGCGAGTCGCCCGCCGGCACCGTCACCATCGTCGCCGTCGGGCCGCTCACAAACGTGGCGCTCGCGGCGGCCGAAGACCCAGAGACGCTCATGCGCGCGCGCGAGGTGGTGGTGATGGGCGGCGCGGTACACGTCCCGGGCAACATCACGCCCGTGGCCGAGTTCAACACCTTTGCCGACCCCGTCGCCGCCGCCCGCGTCTTTGCCCTGACCTCGGCCAGCCCGGCCTCCACCATGCCTCCTCCGCCACCAGCCAACACCCTCCCGGCCGGCACCGAACCTTTAGCTGCCTACCCGGCGGGCCTGACGGGCCGCCTGCGCCTGACGCTGTTCCCGCTCGACATCACGACGCCGCACCTGCTCACAAGGACCTACTTCAAAGCCCGCATGGCGCCGCTGCTGGCGTCGGGCAGCCCGCTGGCGCGCTGGGTCGAGACGGTCATGTCGCGCACCTTTGTCAAGATCGACGGCATCCTGCGCGACGGCTCCGACCCGGGCCTGTCGCTGCACGACCCGCTGACCGTCTGGTACATGATGACGCGCGACGATCCCGCCTGGGCCCCGGCCGTGCCCGGCAGCGCTGAAGGGGAGGACATCCGCATCGAGACGGGCGGCCAGTGGACCCGCGGCATGCACGTGGCCGACGGCCGCGGCTGGAGCAACAACAAGACGGTGGACGCCACCGCCACCGAGGGCGGCGGCGGCGGCGGCACAGAGGTCGTCACCGACGACCCGGCCGACCCGCTCGAGGCGGTCCAGCTCGACGAGGTGCCCGGCCACGTCCGCGACTGGGCCGGCGCCAAGACCCCGAACCGCATCAACAGGATCGTCGGCTCGCCGGGCGAGAGCCTGTTTGCCGAGTTTCTCATGAAGCAGCTGTTCTGGTAGATGGCGGCACACACAGTCTTTTATCCCTTGTTGCTGGATTTCTCATGGAGCGGCTGTTTTGGTTGTAGATAGTGGCGACGCGGCTCTTGGTTGCTTGTTTTGTCTCTTGCTAAATCACTCATAGGGCAGGTGTTCTGGTGGACTACGACGCAATTATTCTTTTACCAATCGGGGGGCTTTTTTCTTCTTTTTTTTCACCAGCCTCCCTTCTCAAGTACTTGCTTGCTTTATCCATCTTCTCCTTTGTCTCTTCTTCCACTCGGGGGTATCTCGGTAAATACTATAGAAACGAGTTCATAAATGACATGACCGCCCTGCCCTTGTCTCCCGTGTTCCTACTTGCTGTTTGCTCAACTCGCATGCCGTTTGACGTCATGTCTGTCCGTGCATGTTCCTCCCTGCAGCCCAACAAACAGATAGTCCCTACAAAGCACGGAGCACGGGCCCGCGCTCCGTGTTGCTCTGGCTCCGTGTCAACCAACCTCTTTTGTCCCGCTCACTGGTTCGCCTCGGGGTCGGCCCCGACAGGCATCGGAACTTACAGACCCAATGATGTATCATCGTGAACAACATGCAGGTTCCCTCGGCACTGCGCACATCCCCCCTCCCATCCCTCACCCCACCCACGCCTAGGCATTGTACGTGTCGCCTATGGGCTCGCCGCGGACCTTTGGCCAGTTGATGGACTGCTCGAGCGCGTCGTCCAGCAGGCCGACCAGGAGGATGGTGGCGCCGCGGATGATCTCGGCGCCGACCGACGGGCGGTCGACCGTGTCCGAGTCGCCGTCGTGCGGCGCGACGTGCCGCTCCGTAACGTTGGTGAGGATCTGTTTGGCGCGGGAGGAGTTTTTTTTGTTCCTCGGTTAGCTTGTGGCTGGAGACAATGATGGAAGCAAGTCGTCGGGGCGGGAAGAAAAAAAAAAAAAAAAAAAAAAAAAAGGGGGTGTGACGCACGACGTTGGACTGGTTGTCCGAGTTGACCAGGGTGCCCATTATGAACCGCCCGTCCGTCGTCAGGATGACGACGCGCTCTGTGGGTTGTGTTTCCGGGGGACCTGGTTAGCTTGCCCGGCGGATGGGGACTAGGTTAACCTAGCAGAACTAAACGAGGGCGAGACCGACTGTCGACGTAGGAATTCAAGAGGTGGACCATCTTTCCGGCAGGAGAGCGGCCGCGGCGTCGCGGCGGCTGCTCCGGCTGTGGTGGTAGGCGCGTGCGTTGGAGAGCAAAAGAACGGAAGTCGGCGGGCGGGCGGGCGGGCGGGCGGGCGGGCGGCGGCGGCGGAAGCTTGGGCGGCGACAGAAGGCGTCGGTTGAAGCTTCGCAAAGTTTGGTGGGGAGAGTTGCTCGCCCGCCCGCGGTGGAGCGGATTGGGTCCTGGGGGGCGGCCCGTATCTTATCTCTGTGTGGCCCCACCCTTCAACTTCGGCTAGCATCACGCATCGTGAAAGTGACAGAAAATGGTAGTCAAGAGTATTATGTTGGTTCCGGATTGTTCGAGTGTCCCCGTGGGAAGTCCCTGGCGTGCTTGGTATCACCCCTGTGCCGGATATGCTATAAAAACCCAAACCAATGGCGGGCGACATTGGATAATTGTAGTATGGAATACACATCTCGAAGCAGAATGCCCTCCCTGACCGTCTTGGTATTATAGCATGCAGATAGTTGAACAGTGTTGGGCGGATAATAAAAGGAGCTGTAGGATGTCAAGGCCATCCCGCATATTCAGCCCTCGAAATAATAATAAAAAGTTTCTCTGTTGAAAAAAGAAAATCTCTTATAGACGCTCTCCTCATCTGTCGTCTCTGGGGTATATCCTCCTCATAACCGTCAAGTGAAGAAATTGAAGAAAAAGAAAAATGAAGGGTAAATGCTAGCCCTCGTGTCATAAGATGGGCGCTGGCAAACTTTCGTATCGTAGACCGAGGTTGATGTCACCTCCCAAAAGACAAAAGAAACAACACGCTAGTGAAAACGGCAACGTTGCCAGATGGAAATCACAAGCCAAGGTAAATGCTCGACGAGTCTGGTGCAAGATCTCGGAGTGAATTCAAGACAGGTCATCAAAAAAGAGCAGTCATTTGAAGACGAAAAGAAGGCACTGAAAAAGGAGTGAGCTGTGTTTGAGCAGGCAAAGCGTGCAAAATATGTCGCTGAGAAGGAGCAGTGATGGTATGTGTATGAGCTGATGTTAAATCGCGACGCTTCAGCCAATGGCGCGGCCAATGTCCTCGCGCAGCAGCGGCCTCGGCGAGCCAAACATGTCGTCGCTGAACGAGAGCCTGGGCGGGATGGACGAGGTCGAGTAGACGCGCGAGTGGTTGGACGCGCCCGAGTACTGGTGGTGGTGGTGCGAGTAGTTGCCGCAGCGGTGAGGGGGCGAGCAGCTGGCGGCCGAGGACCGCGGGTAGTCGCTCGAGGTCCTGCCGGCGCGCGGGAGCTCCTGCTCGGACGCACCGTAGTAGCCGTAGGGCCCCTGCTGTCGCTGCTGCTGCTGCTGCTGCTGTTGCTGCTGCTGCTGCTGCTGCTGCTGCTGCTGCTGCTGCTGCTGCTGCTGCTGCTGCTGCTGCTGCTGCTGCTGCTGCTGCTGCTGGGGGTGGTCCCAGCTCAGGCCGAGGCTGCGCAGGCTGCTCCGGGAGCTGCGCGCGCGCGTGTGGGCCAGGCGCGGCGACGTGACGGACCCCGACATCTTGGAGATGCGCGACAGCTGCCGCTTGGGTAGCGGGATGTAGGGCTCGTCGCCGGGGATGGCCTGGTCCGTCAGCCCCTCGCGCGCATTGGGCGCCCGCGCCTGGATGGGCGTCTGGGGCAGGTCCTTGTCCATGCTCGCGCGGCCGTACCTCGAGCCGGCGAGATTGGACGACGAGGCCATGGAGCGGGGCGACAGCTCCTCGGACTTGCGGTAGCCCGGGATATCTGGCGAGCAGCTGGCCGACACCTGGTTCTGGTAGACGATGACGGCGCTGGGCACCTTCTTGGTCGGTGTCGTTGGTGGTAACGATGGGTCCGATGATGCTGCTGCTGCTGTTGCTGTTGCTGCTGATGCGTCCCTCCCTGCGGTGCCGGGCCGGAATGACCTGGGGTTGGATTCCGAGGACCGCGGCACCGTGATGGTTAGGCCGGCGCTCGTCGTGGGTTCGGGCACGTGCTTCTCGGCGCGCTCCTCGGGGCTAATTTTCCAGCTCTCGATCTCGTCGTCGTCGATGGGCGTGATGCCCCGCTCGAAAAACGGTACCCGCTTCCGCCTATACCTGTGGCACAGGACGGCGGCGCCGGCGACGAGGACCACGCCGAGGACGGCAAAGACGACCGTCAGCGCGATAACGAGGGTACGGTGGCCATCGGAAGGATTGCTAGTCGTCGAGGCCGTCGACTGCGCGCTCGTGTCGGAAGGCATGGGAGCCGTCGGTGGTGTCGTGGGTGGCAGCAGCGTGCTGAAGCCCGCTGCCACCAGAGTGCCCGAGGAACCGTTGCCGGCCGCGTCGGGTCTCGTGCTACCTGCGGGTTGGCTCTCGGCGGTGGGAGAGAGCCTGCCAACAGTCGACCGCGAAGCAGCAGTGCGGCTTCGAGCGGTTGAGGTTGTGAGAACAAAAACAGGTGGAAACTGTCCCGTGTGGGCCGACGCCGTTGGGAGCGGTGCCTTTTCGGGATATACTCCTGATGACACCTGACGGGATCCTGCCAACAGACGCGAGTTAGAATCGACAGCTCCAGCACAAAAGAAGCCGCAAGACCATGCGTGAGTGCGAAGGTGAGAACCGAAATCGAAGGGGTCCGGACCTTCGGCGACTGCTGCGGGAGCGAGAACGACCAGCGGAGCTCTCCCAGCCGCTGGACCAACGGCCAGAAACCACCAGCATATCAACAACAGCTTTGGTGGGAATGATTTGGGCATGCTCGGTTGTGTGAACATGGAATGGGGTTTGGGCAGAGCGATGTCCAGATGGGGGTCGAGAGAGGAGAGATGGAGGCGGGCTCAAGTGCGGCGAACATGAGCCATCCAGGCACGCCGTCCGCCTGAGGGTTCCTACCGCTTTGTCTCTCCTGCAACTTGCTCTCTACCGCCTCTTTCCTCGCCTCTCAAACGGGACAAAGGATGGGACAAAGGCGTCGGGAATGTGATGCGAACAGGCACAAAGGGAGGCGCGGCAGACACCAACATCAAGTCATGCTGCTACCGGCGAAGGGAACTGGCAGAGAAGAAGAAAAAGAAAAGAAAAACTACTGACAGGAATCGGTCGCCCGTTTGCAGGAGTCTGGAAAGCCGATGAGACGGTTGTGTCTCGGTCCGCGCGAAAAAGGTCGACTAACACCAGGCCGGCGGTCTTGGTGGGGTGGGCCACTGGGAGCTTTTTAAAAGGAACAAAGCACCAGCTGAAGGCGCGCTAGAAGTCCGAGAAAACAAGAAAGGACGTTTGGCTACGGTTGCGGTATAACATGCGGCATTGGCAGTGAGCAAGCCAGCAGCGGTCGGGGGTCTCGGAGAAGGTGTGTGCGGCACGCCGGCGACCTCAGTTCCTCTCTCGGCTGTGATGCACACAAGTGGCACATGGGCGAAGAGCAGCCGGCGGGGGTAGGTGGGAAGGGAGAAGGAAATAAAAAAGGCAAACGGATCAACAAAAAAAAATGTAGACCGTGCCGTGTGTAAGTACGTGTGCTAGCTGCAAGCAACGGCCAAAAATATCTCTTCGGCCGCCCAGGATGGGGACGGAGTTCGAAGGGGGAGGGCAAGGAGGCTGGTTGGGCTAGCTAGCCGGCCGAGGCGGCAGATTATAACCAAAGAGGCAGAGAGAGCGAGAGAGAGAGCGATGGAGAGGCACGTTGCGGTACTGTCTGCAGAGTCGCAGCAGATCCACCCCACGAAATACTCCGCACGCTGATGCACGTCGCTTCGCTTCGCCCGTCTTTTGACAAGCCAGGCACGCCGGGCCCAGGTCGGGTGGCCGGCAGGACAGGCTGTGTGGATGGGTGGTGGTCTGCCCTTGCAGAAAAGGTCGAGGGGGCGAGAGAGCCATTTGCGGTCGGCACGCACGCCCCTGCCGTACCGTTAAAAGAGAGAGAGAGAGAGAGAGAGCTGCGTGCGGCGGGATTGCGTGCGCACCGAAGTGGAGGTGGGAGGGTCGCCGTCCCGGTGGGCCCAGCAAAATTTCGGCCAAGGTTAGGTGTGGTCGGAGCTAGTAGCTCTGAAGATGCGGTTCATGTTTTCCTTTGCTACCCTCGATATTTCCCTCACCATCAGTCCGCCGCCGCCGCGAAAGCGCGCGCCGTCGACGCAGCCAAGGGGGGTCCAAGCCAGGACAATCGACACACACACACACACACACACACACACACATAGCACTTGGACACATACACACCGCTCGAAGTGGCAGGTATTGCTTTTGTTTCGGGGCCTCTGTTGGAGAAGGCGCATCTTCGTGTTGACGGACGGCCCATCCCAGAAGGGACTAGAGCCGCCCGTTCGTCACGGCTGCCCGACCCCCTAGCTCTGAAGCTCTGGTGTAAACATAGCACATAGCACGCAAGCCTACTTCAGGTAGCTCAGGCACACGAAAAGGACTGCAGTGATCGGCGTTCTTTTCCCTGCCCTCCCTCTCTCTCGGCTTGAGAGAGGGGGGTGTGTGGACTCGCAGCCGACGACGACTTCCGCCGGGGCGTGCGTGCAGGCTGACCTCCGGCTTACTCTGTAGTACAAGGCCGGGGCCTTTTTTGGCCATTTGGGCTTATGCAAACGTCGCGCCCACGATAGTTGGCCGCTGTTTCAACGTTGGGGACCAAGTGTCGCACTTTTTGCGCTCACTCCGTTCCGCCATTCTTGCTTTTGGAGTCATTTTTTCTTGCGCTGCCAATTATGCTTCTTCTTTTTCTTTCCCTGCTTTGGTCCCCCTTCCCGCATCGGGTCTTTTTGCCCGCTTCCGCATTTCCTGACGGCGGAGCATTCTTGTTTTGGAGGCAGAAGCAACACCTGGTATTTACTGAACCGTACCAAGGAAAACTCGGTATGCGTAGGCGCAAAGGTGCCCCAATGTCCCCAATGTCCCCTCCACCCTCAAACGGGCGTCCCCGGGCCTCGACGAACAAACCAAGGCAGGCCCGGGCCAGAGGTGTGCGGTGTGTTGTGGGGGTTGACTGCACGCGTTTCAACGGGAGGAGACGTTATCCATTTGGACCCGTGGTTGGACCACGATCGTCCAGCAGAGGAATGGAGAAAGGACATGGGGCAGGGGTCGTGGTTCCTGGCCCTGGCGGCAGGGGAGGGGGAGCAACACCCCGGCCCCAAGCTCCGTTCAATTCCACCCCTGCTAGAGAGTGGTCGCTCTGTAGACGACACGGATTGGAAGGGTTGGAAGGGTTGGAAGGGTCTGGGAGCTTTTTTCCCTCTCGAGTGGATTCGCAAAGTCGCATGGAGGAGCCACAGCGGGGCGGCCGAGGCATCGACCTCTCGGCTGGTCGCGGGCAGGTCAGAGGAGAGGCCATCTACGGCCAGCTATTGGGAGCTTGGCGAGGTACGATACAGGCACTACAGTCACTTGTGTGCTCTCCCACCCCTGAATCGGGCACACATCCTGTCGGTGCCCGGAGACGTTGGCGGCAGCAAGCTGAGCACATGGCATGTCTGGATGCAAGGCCTGGACGGTGCCATGTGTCTCCACGTCAGGATTGCACACATGCACGACCCATCGGAGGAGAGGAGGGGGAGGGAGAGAGAGAGAGACAGAGACAGACATGCATACATCTTTGCAGACCAGGCAGGGGGTGGTGTCCTGGCGGGAAACGAACGAATCAGAGCTGTAAGGGACCGCGTACCTTGTCGATTCAAGCTGCAAACACCCAACCCGGTTTTTGCTGTGGTTCCTATTTTGCACATTCCATGACTAGCGCGAGGCCCGTGCGGCAAGGCCCCAGGAAGGGGCGGCGGGCGGCGGCGGCGATGGTGGTGGTGGTGGTCGTCGTCGTTGTGGGAAGCGGTGCGGTGTGGGTGCGCCACTCTGTGCGGTCGAGGATAAGTGTGGTTGCGTGGACATATTGCGACCGACAGTGAGCAGCAGCGAAAAGTCGTGGGCTTCTTCAGCCCAGGTCCAAAGAAAAACGGTCCCCCATCAAATCCTCAACAGGATGGACCCGGGGCAGTGGCAGTGGCAGTCAGCGTGTATCAGAGAAAGACCAATCCGTTCCACAGCTGGCAGGCCGGGCTGTCCTGAGCATCGCAGTCAGCCCAGGCCGCATCATGGCGTCTGCCACAGCCAATTTTCCCCTCCTCTCAAACGGCTCCAGGCATCGGCCTAGGCAAGACAAACAAGCGAGTGCCGATCCCCGCTGCGTGTCCCGGTCACGACGAGGGTTACAGGATTCCAACCTTGATTTAGGCGTGGTGGAGATTTCGTGAATAGGAGAAGGCACAGAAAAAAGAAAGAAAAAAGATGTGCGTGGCTGGCAGCAATGGCAATGGTTCTCCAATACTCCCCACAAAGCCAGCCCAGGGGACCAAGGACCGACCTTGCATCAGTCCAAATGCAGCTGACCACCGAGATGCGCGAGAGGGGCGCATCCACCGGGGGAGGGGCCAAGGCCTTGTGCTGTCTTGCCTCGCCTTGCCTTGCTTCTTTGCTGTGCTGCCTCGCCTTGCAGATGCAGGCTGGGACCATCACACAGCATGAAAAAGCAACCACAGCGCCTGCAATACCAGTAGCCTCTCTCACTCTCCCTCCTCGCTGCATCCTCACAGGCAGATAAACGCCCTGCTAGCCACTAGTCCGGCAGAATCTGCGCGGTGGGTGCTGCCTTGGTGCGCTTGGGCCCGATGACGTTAGATCGCATCCTGGCGGTGGCGACGAGGGAGGAAAAGCTTTTGGTGGCTTCGCATGAAATCCGGGGGGTTTGCGAGGCTGGCGCATCAGAAAGTTGAGCCCACCTGCAACAGAAAAACCGGCCGCCCTTGTTTTTTTCCCCTGTTATTGTCCCGCTCCGATTGTGTCCGATGGCGCATCTCCGGGCTTTAGCCGTCTCTGGGGATTGGGGTCCAAATGGACGCTCGACTCCAACTCCTCCTGCGACGTCCACTCGAACAGCTGGTCCAGGCGGTGAGGGCTACGATACTAGGCACGGTATAGGGGGTACCCCACCGCCGTGGCTCTGCGGCAAGGGATCGCAGAGGGCAAAGAGGGGTCTTGTTGTGGTGGGCGTGTGGGCGTGGGTGTGTGGATGTGGGGTGTGCGGCCCAAAGGCCAGAGAAGGGATGTGCTCGCCTGAACGACTGGCTGACGGGCGGCTGGCGCTGAAACCACGATGCCGTTGTCGTCCAATGCCCAAGGTGGCCGGCAGGCGGGCGGGCTTTCCTCCGCTTTGCCTCCGCTTTCCCCAAGACGGCTTCTCGGCCACTTTGAGGGGGGAAGAGCGATGGGGCCGTCCAAACCTGCGCGAATTACGAATTGCCAGCCCGGAGCCAGCAGATCAGTCAATCTGGCCCAGACGATCGAGTGCAAGGAACAGGGGAGACGCTACCCGTCCTGTTCCCGTCCGACTCTTTTTTTTTTTTTTTTGATGGTGTTTCCTCCCGTGAGCCCTGTGGCTAGCGTCCTCCTCTGGGGACTGGCGGAATCAATAGGGTCGATCCAGCACCGTCGACCAGAATTCAATACTAGCCACAGCCACAACACCAAAGAAAAAAAGAACGGAATGGGTGGTAATTTCGAAAAAGGCATCACATGGGGCACCAGTGACACGCACCGAACTTGCCGGTTCATCATCTCCGACCCTCGTCCAAGGCTGGGTAAGGTGTGGACGGTGGGCAAGCAAAATGTGACAAGTGGATTTCTGTGTGCATCATGCCACCCTTTTTTTTTTTCGTACCTGCAGAATGGGAAAAAAAGACGGGGCACGACCTGTCAGCCAAGCCGCGCTGAATCGTCGACGGTCCACATCCGATATTTTGAGTCGCGTCTCGTTCCGTCTCGTCGGCGGACAACCTCGGCCCTGATTCCGAGATGGCGCAATTGAGGTGGCGGCAGGTCGACTCTTGTGGCAATGGAATGGATGGCGATGGGATGGCGATGGGATGCCAATACAGCCGCCCAAGCGATAATGCACCCTCCCCTCTCCACCTTGGGCGCATCTGAACCCCAAGACGGGATGAGCTAGAGCCGTCGTATATTTGCAATCCAAAGTCGCAATCGATGCGACCCACGACCTCTCCCCTCTCTCCACGTCGGCAAACGGCGTCCCCTGGTCTGCTGGATGCACAGCACTGATATCGCAGGCCCTGTGGGCCATATGACATGGTATCGATAGCCAGAAACGCCAGAGAATCCCCCAGGTTGATGCTCGCGGCAGGCACAGCAATCTCGTCACGGCCGTCCCACCGCAGGGGGTCGTCCCAAATGCAGGGATTTGCCGGCCGGCAGCGCTCTTGTTTTCTCTTCACATTTCTCTTCTGTGAACCTGCGGCAACGTGGCGCACAGAGGAACACCGTTTTCCCCTCCCCTTCATTGCGACAAGAGGCGGCCCGTGCGACGACAAAAATAAGAAAGGCTGCCATCGCAGGGAAGGGGGGTGTGGTCTTTCTCTCTCAGCTCCAAACCAGGGCCATCCATGGAAATCTGGTGGCCGTGTGTGGCCGTCATCTGACCCCCCGATTCGAAATCGCCCCGCGCCCCTTTCGCCGGTTGTTGCCGACTTTTATCGCCTAGCCATCCAAATTCGCAATTCGAGATCGTCCGGGGTTTCGTTAGCCTCTGATGGTGACAGAGAGAGAAAGAAAGAAAAAAAATGCAACAAAAGAGGCCCACGCATTCGCACCGTCAGCCCGTTCGTCCGTCCGTCGACTCCCTGACCATCATGGGTCCTCCCCTCTTCCCGAGCAGTCTCCGCTCGGCTGCCTGCTCTGTGCGTAAGTGTGTGCGCGCGCGCGCGTGTATGGGTACGTACTTGGGCCGCCGCCCGCGATGGCATCATAGCTGGTCTGTTCACCTTGCCGAGCCGCGGGCCTTGTGGACGAAGCAGCACCTCTACCGGGCTCGTGCCTCTGCAGCATCCGTGCAGCGAGGCTGTTTCCGCCCGGACGGGCAGGAACACCTGGGTACACCCACCACACTGATATCTCCTTCTTTTCTTCTTTTCCTTCTGTAGCGTCTCCTCGGGAGCGATCGGAGCGCAACTCAAGCCCCAAAAGGGCCCTTCGACAAACTGCGTCGCAAACTGCCCTGACCCATGAACAAAACCCACGTCTCTCCTCCGCTCTTTACCGAGCCCGTGGCAAGGCCAGCCAGCCCCCTTTTTTGCCCCCTTCATCAACCTCCCCGCCTGCCCTTCTCACCTTTCCCAGGAACCCCCCTTGGCATCTCGAGGCGTGTTTCTTCACCGCTACTACTGCCCGCCCACTTTCCCACCTTGCCACTCTCAGCCCTCGGCAACGTTGGCTGCCGGCCTCGAGCTATAGGTGTCCAGGATCACAAACACTACTGCGGTGGAGCAAGATACATTTTCTTCCTTAGAAAACCAAGCCAAACTGATGTACCACCAAGATCCACTGCACTAGTGTTTGTGATCCTGGACACCTGTAGGCATATACCAGGCCCAGGGTTCCAGGCGAGCGCGGTGGCAGTCTCAGTGATATTGCTGCTGCTCCTCATTGTTTCTTTTTCTCTCTCTCCCTCCACCCCACTGATCGCTTAGGGATCCATTTTTTTTTTGTGGGCGCGGGGTGGGTGGTTCTTGAGGTAGCTTGTCTTGGAAAAGGCCGACCGTCACCGGCGAGCCAAGAGAGATGCGATGCGGCTTGTGTTTCTGGTCTCTCTCTGCTGCCTTGCAGTGTCTTGTTCGCCGCATGCTCCGGCAGACCGGGAATACACACGGTCGAGGGGGTGGCCCAATGCCGTGCCGTGTGCTGTGCGTGTGGTTGCACCATCGTGGTGCATGATGCAGGCACCGCCATGAGGCTATTTGCGAGACCCCCACCTCCATCTTCGTCGGTTGCCTGCCGCCGACTGGCGCGCTGTTTTTTTTTCTCCCTCCCTTATCGGGGCTCCGTCGCGGCGCGATGACTTGCAGCAAGCGTTCGGCCGTTCTGCTCCAGAGGGGATGCCACTCTGCTCCACCCCTCGCGTGTGCTCTGCTGTGTCTTCTTCCGGCCTCTTTTTTCTCTCTCTCTTTTTTTCTATGACCTGTATATTTAACCCCTCTTTGCTTGCCTGACTCTTGCATGCAGCGAGGCTCCGCAACAGAAGCACCATCAATCAAGGCCAAGGGGCGGCGAGCCCGCAAGGTCGGCCGCGTGTTCCGAAAAGGAGAGAGGGTGTCAACGTCAATGTTCAGCTCGGCCGAAAACGGAACCAATAGACCGGTGCTAGCTCCGCTGTTGGCAGCCAAGGCCTGTCCAGCCTGCCATCGTGAAACACTGATGGTTGGGAGGCTTTTCTTTACTTTTTTGACTGTTTTCTGTTTTCTGTTCCTCGCACGTCAACAAGCCTCAACCGCCTTGCTGCCCGATCTGACATGCATTGCACCCTCCAAGATGCCTGCCTGCTGTTTGCTTGTCCAATCCAACAGGAGGAAGCAGACAACCCCAACGTCTCAGCCCCAACATGCCAACGCATCGTCACAGACATGGACCGGCCGACCAACCATGCGGCCGAGACGCCGTTTCTGCTGCTCGGGCGAAACGTGTGCCCCGTGCTTTTTTCTTTCTTTTTTTTCCCACGCGTGCGGCGCGGGCAGACCCTCCTCTTTGAAGCACACGAACCGACGAACTCCAATTGGGGGGACTCGCCCGTCCGTCGAGGTGGACAGCGGGCTGCGGGCGGGGCCGTGATGTTTTTGCGGCCGTAATCTCCCAAGGCATCCACTCACCGTGGCCACGAGACGCACACACCACACTTTCTTTTCCCCCTCGAATCTACACAGTACACCTCCATGGATTGCCCTTGGATCTGGCTGGCCAATGGCGCTGCGAGCGCAACATGTGGGTGTCCGCTTCACTCCTCTTCCTCCTCCTTGTCCACACACACTCTCTCCCACACCACATCCCTCCTCCCTGCCGACACTCTCGGGTCCGAGACGGCCGATTTGACATCTGTCGCCTCCCGTGCCCTGCACCGTGACGCCTTCTGTCTGACTCGCCCCAGGGATGGCCGGTCCAACGACCTTGACCGCTGTCGACGGACCTCTATCGGGCCAGGGCAAAATGGAGGGAATCTAATCTACTCGCGACTCTCTGGACTCTGCAACAGCGGTTCGTCGGGCTATTTTCTGGCCAGTCACGCACTTCTGCAGCCGCGGAAACCCATCCCGAGCAGCTTCATCGTTCCGGGCGGGTGCCGGCAAATCCAACATGCCGCCATGGATACTCATCACTTACTTTCCCTTTCTGAAACCCGCCACACCGCAGCCTTGCCAATCTATTCACCGTGATGATGATGATGACTGCCGTTCGTCACCCCACCCCCGCGCTTCCGCCAAGTAGCGCAGTGCGGCGCACGCGAGCTTGGCTCGGCTTTTGCCCGGCTCAGGCGAGACGGGGAAAGCAGCGAGAGAGGAAAGAGGAAGGAAGGAAAAAAGCAAAGAACGGGGGTGTGTTTCGTTCGTCAGCGTTGCCTTGATCCTTAGGCTCTCGCTCTGTACCGACGTCTCTTGGCTCGTTTTTTTTATTACATTCCACACGTTTGTGGATGATGAGGGGCCCACCCGCCGTTCTTCCTCATCTCAGGCCAGGGTGTGTGTGTGTGTGTGTGTGTGTGTGTGTGTGTGTGTGTGCGTGTGGGATGGATGGATGTGCACGGTCCCTTGATACGAATTTCTGGTGGTTCGTTTTCTTTGCGCGGTTTCTTGCGACATGGCAGTTAAACAAGAGTGACATGGGCCATGATCCCCCAACACGAGGTGGACGTGAGGGAAACAAAAATAAGAAACGGAAAACGAAGCAGGAAGGAAGCTGGCCGACGTTGATACGGGTCGACGAAACCCGACGGCAACCACACCGTCGTATCCCATCTCTGCTGTCCTGTCGATGCCGCAAAACAACGCCCACATCCGGCAAGGGCACCCACCCTCGCCTCCCACTCGTCATATAATCACGCGGGTTATAGCTCCCTCCCTGGCTGGGCGCCCCCGGAGAAATTACCGTTGGCGGCCGGCCTTCTCCCTCCTTGGCCTGTGGTCCTTTGTGCCGCCGGACCCGGGCTGGTGGGAAAGGGAGGTGACGCCCCCACGGTTACGGTACTAGGTAGGTAAGTAGGTGGCTCATATATATGCTATGTCGCGTGTAGATACTTGCCTACCTACTCATACTAGGCGCAAAAGCCTCTTTAGCATAACGCGCGATGCGACGCCCGCGCCGTCATGTGGCCTCGTGGTTGCAGCCGCTCACGCTCTGCAGGGCAGGCTCATAAACCCTACCGTGGTTGCGAATGGGTGTGCGCCCAGGAATTGCCAGAACGCACGCCCATCCTTGTCGTCGTCGCCGTCGCCGTCGCCGTCGTCGTCGTGGGTGGTCCGTGTTCAAAAGTCCGGCTCGTCGGGGTGGAGAGAGAGAGAGAAAGTGCTCGCATACGTGGCCTGGCCGATGTGCTCATCCGGTCCTGGCTGGTGTGATGGGCAGGGAAGGGAGCAAGGCGATTGGGGGGGAACATGCATGGCAATTTGGCAGTATGGCTTCGTTTTCCTGGTACCGAGCACCTACCCGGATCCTCCTCCAGGTCCAAGAGATTGCAACCCCCCGAAATCCCACCCGGTCCTGTCAAAGCCCGTCACGCTGCCAGTCAACCTGTCAGTCCTTGGGCACGTTGTTGTCCACAAGTGGCAGGCAGGTCGAGGGCTTTTGCGTCGAATCTGTGCGCCGCCTCCCTTCCAACCATAGTTTCGAGGGCTTGGCGTCCACTGGAAATGGAGACAAATCGGTACTTGTATCCGACATGGCCCGTGGACGCCCTGTCCTTTACTGGATTCTCGAGAGAGCGGGAGAAAAAAGTGACGTGTTCCTTTTTGTTTTGTTCTGGAAATCAAACACCACTCTGCTGCGACATTGACAGCACAGACACGACTATCACCATCTCGCCGCCAAGCAAAGGAAATGAGTAAGATGGGGCAGAAACAAAGAGTCAGGTAGCTCTTGAGCCTCTCTCCGTCTCTTGCTCTCCCCGGGGACCCCTCTCTCCCAAGCTCCCTCCCCCGGGCGGCGGGGGGGCGTCCTTTTGTAATATATCGTTCGGTATAGAGTGCGCAAGAGGAAGTCCTGCCCCGTCTCCACGACCACGTCACACGACCTCTGCCATGGCACGGCGGCGTTGTGTTGCGTGTCGCGTGGCGCTGGCGGCCCTTCCTCTCTCCCACCACCCCACGGCGAGCACTACCGATCTCGCCCCGGACCCCCGATCGGCGGGCAGGCAAGCCCGGATGGGATATTGGTTCCCGGCAGGCAGTTCATCGGCTTGCCATTTTCTGAGCAGCCCCGTCTGTTGCCTCCTTCCCCTTCGGTGTGGGCGCGGCCATGATGGCGAACCGGTACTCTGCGATTTCGCCGCCACACCACAATCTCCTGTCCCGGACTTTTGCGAATGGTGGCAACGAACCACGTCCTCTGCTTCCGGGTCATGAGGCGCACGAGGACCGGGCGTTTGGTTGACGTCGCCAGGCGATAACGGACAAAGCCAAAGGCGGAAAGACGGCCATTGCCATACATTTCATTGCTTGACTCGGCTCTAATATAGGGAGGGGACGCCTTGACTATGGAAGGCGGGACACGCAGCGGGCCCCCTTCTTGACCTAGCATTCAACGAGGTCTGCGAGCGGGGAGAATGCACAGAAAGGGTTAAGCTGCCTTCAAAAATGGAGACGCACTATATCTGCCAAAGATGGTGCTGGGTACCTGGTGCGCATGTACGTAGTAAAGCATTGAAACAGCCGTGTATGGGATATCACCTCTCTAACGATAAAGCCAGCAACCAACAACACAAGTGGAAAGGCCCACACACCACTACCAGTGTAGTCCTCCCGTGATTCCACATTAATGCCTCACGCGCGTCCGCGGCAAGTGTCCCTCCCAAGGGACGGGGTGAGGTCTCGACAGGGCCTTGGTCTAAGACACAGAGACTTGGGCGACGTCCGCAAGCTATCCCACTAGGATGCCGCAGGCGCGGCCTTCCCCTCCTGCTACTGCTCCCGTCCCGCCCCGTTCTGCGCCTCGGCGGGCGCGAGCGTCCTGGCGTGGGCAGGGTGCGACATGTCGTAGCGCAGCGACGGGATCGAGAGCCCGTACGGCTGCGTCCGGCCCTCACTGTCCGAGTTGTCCATCTCGACCCGGATCATGACGTCCAGGCTGCCGTCGCCCGCCGTCCCGTGGCCCTTGCCGGCCGCCCGGTGGCCGGTGCCGCAGCCGAGCTCGCCCTGGCTGATGGGGTAGTGCCCGTCCTTGCCCGGGACCTGCGAGCGCGTCGAGGAGGCGGCTGATGTCGTGGCGCTGGCTCCCGCGCTGGAGCCCGGCGGCGGGGCGAGGTGCGTGTTGCTGTTGTTGCCGTTGTTGCTGCCACCGGCCCCGTTGGCGCCGTTCGAGGTGCCGGGCGGCACCAGGTGCGTTCCTGCGCCGTTGCCGACGTGGGTGGCGGGAGTGGCGCCGCCGCCGCCGCCGCCACCGCCGAGGTTGGGCGAGTTCTCGGTGATGACGGCAAAGTTGCGGCTCGGCATGGTGACGTGGTTGAACCCGGCCGTCTTGGACGACTCGCCCGGGTCCTTATCGAACAGCTTGAGGAGGGTCTCGTCCGTGTCGTGGTTGAGATGGTGGATCTTGTTGCGGCGGGCCAGCAGGTTGGCGATGGCGCCCGGGGGCGGCTTGTTCACGATGGCCGACGAGATGACGTTGGTGATGTAGCGGTGGTCGTGCTCGACGGGGACGGCGAGCTTGGGGTTCGAGTAGAAGCGCCCAAAGGCGGCCAGGTGCACGTCGCCGCCCAGGATGGTGATGCGCACCGAGTGCTCGGCGCTGACGCGCTGCAGACGCTCGATCAGCTGGCTGCGCTCCTTCTTGTGGGTCCGGGCCGTATAGTGATCGTCCAGGTCGTCGAGCAGGTCGACGCTGCCGTCAAAGTGGTTGAAGATGCCGCCGCCCAGGCCAAAGCGACGGTTCAGGAACTTGATGGGCCCGATGATGGGGGACGTGAAGACGTTCTCAAGCCACGTCAGACGCGGATAGGCAATGGGTACGCCCAGGAGCAGGATCAGGTGCGTGATGGGAGTGCCCTCGCGCCTCGCCGCCCCCAGTTCTTCTCGCAGCCGGTCAAAGATCAGGTCGTACGTCTCTGGGTAGTTGATTTGATGCCGTGTCCTTTCGGTTCTGGCATCGATGCCAACGAAGGCCATCCTGGCGCCCAGGCGGCAATACATGTTGTGGGAATGCTCGGCAACATATGGCTGGCGTATCGTGTTAGTCCCTTGGGTGCATCATTGGGCCTCCTGACTTGGCTGCATGGACGGGGCAAAACTTACCCCGGGGTGGCTTCCATTGATGTACTGTGATTCGGTCATGCGGGGGGCCACAAAAGTGTTCATAAGCTGGTTGACATCGTTGGCCTCGGTCGTCGCGTCGTTGCCCATGTTGCTTGCTGGGTCTGCAGTGATTGGGGCATCTAGTATGTGGACATGGTCACGTTAGCGCTATCCAATACTTGGGTCCCGAAGCGCCCGTTGACTTACCCGAGGTGTATGTCGAGGCCGGTGGCGGCAAGTGGTGCTGGAAGAGCAGGTAGTACTTGTGCGCAGTGCCCCCAATGCCCCTAAACACATCACACTTCATAAAGTCGTTCGTGTACGACCCAAACCCGTCAATGATCTGCGCGCACAGGTCAGAGCAGGTCAGCATCAGTCTCTCATATCTTGGCCGCAGGGTGGGGTGTCGGCTCACGTCGTGGTCGTCCCATATGTTTAGCTGTGGGATTTGGCCGTTGGCGTTTGCAAAGGGGAATATCGAAAACCTGAAGCATTGCCATGGGGGTTAGTATATTGGGGGGCGCCGGTACGCAGGCCACCTGGGTTGCCGCTCCCAGGCGAGGGATTGTGAAGCGCAAGCCTCACCATCTAATGTAATTCTTCAGGTAGTAGTCGTCACACTCCTGCCTTAGACTTTCCGGGTACGGATGGTCCCGGCGCTTCTTGGGGTTCCCGATGTCGGTCCACTTGCGCAGCGGACCGCCGACGCGGATGCCGTCGTTGTAGATCTGGTCGCCGCCGCCGATCATGACGTGGAAGGGCCGGTCCTCGTGGACGCGCAGGACGTCCTTCCAGAGCGCCGGCCCGCTCCAGGCCTCCTCGTCGGTCCCGACGCTGAAGCCGTTGCACGAGTGGAACATGATGCGCATCGACTCGGCCGCCGCGGGCACGTGGAAGATGCTGCGCTGCGGCTTGGTCCGGCTGTGGAAGCGCAAGCCGGGGAAGGTGTACTCCCACCGCGCCTCGAACTCCTCGACCGGGACGTCCAGGTCGAAGCGCCAGAAGGTGTTGCGCGGGTCCGAGTAGAGGCAGTAGCCCTGGACGCGCTCGCCGCCCTTGGCCACCGCCGCCTGGGCCTCTGGGTCCGCCACGGGGCCGTCGGACGGGAAGCCGGTGCCCTTGGCCTTGTCCTTGCTGTCCTTGTCAGCCCCCTCGGGAGGGATGTTGACCTCGACCACCTCGTCCCCGGCCTCGTTGCGGGGGACCCTTTCGAGCCCGACCGCGGCCGAGGGCTGGGCGGCCGCCTCGTGGGTGGCGGCAGCGCCATGGGGCGCGGCATGGCGCGGGCCGAGAGGACGCAGCACGAGGGTCGGGGCCTCGGGCAGGGTGGCGCCGCCGCCGCGGGTGACGACGAGGACGCTGCCGAGCCAGCGGCCGCGCTCCATGCGGCGGTAGTTGAGGAGCGGCCCGCAGGCGACGTCCTTGCCGTCGCCGGCGGGCTCCGGGGCGGCAGCGTAGATGTCCGGGTGGTCGGCATTCCCCGTCGCCTCGCGGGCCTCGGCGGCGCCGATGACGACGGGGGTGAACTTGGGGCGGCCGCTGGCGCTGGTGCCGGGGGGCTTGCCAGGGTCGTCGGCCGTGTCGGAAGGGCTTATGCGGTCCTTGTTGAGGAAGTCGGCGAGGTCGCTGACACGGCCGCGGGCCTCGGGGTCGCGGGGCTGGGGGTGCTGGGACGACCCGGCGGCATGGCGGGCAAACTTGGATGACTCCTGGTGGTGCCAGCGGCTCTTGGAGGCGTATGGATTGGAGGCGTAGGGGTTGGGCGCCTCGGCGACCTCGTCGTCCTCGAGATGGGAGAGGTCGCTGCTCGGCTGCGGGGCCGCCATTATCTTGCTGTCCGCGCGCCCGTCTCTTGGGATTTCCAGCTAGCGGTAGTGCAGCAAAAGCGCGTCGGGATTACAGCGACGTAGCTCTATGGGTTGGGCTGCGCTTCGCCACACACCAGCGGCTCGACAGAAAAGACAGCAGCAGCAAGACAGGATCGGATCACAACAAGCAGAGGGGGAGATAACGAGAAAGACAGACGAGGAGGGCGACACAGAACCAAGCACCTTGGGCTGGCTCCCCGGTCTCTTGCCTTGATTTTACGGGCGACAGACGGGAGGGATTCGCGCGTGGGGACGTGACCAGGGTGGGCGAGTGTGTCTCACCAAGGACAGTGGCATTGAGCGCTAGAGGTACCTCTAGCTTTCAGTGGCCTCGGCCTCTGTGTGCTGTCGCAGCCGCCTCTCAAGCTGTTGGTCGCAGACGTTGCAGCTAGTGCCCGATGTGACACGCATCACGAGATTGGATCTTGGTTCCCGTCATCCATGTGCGTCTATTCCATTTATATTTTCTTGGGGATGCCGTGAGGGCCCGCGAACTGTACTGTTGTACCTATGTAGCACCCTTGTGCAAATGAATCCACACAAGGCGGAACCTCGTTGATCGGATCTTGCGTGCTTGCCAAAAACAAAGACAACGGAGACAGGAGACAGATACAGGAGCCAGGGGGACTGCAGGGGCTAGGAAGCTGCAGCGATCCGTTCAAATACCATGCGCAGATCAGCCCACGTCGGAAAACAAGACGACGGGCACTTGATTTAGCTTCGGTTGGAGGGGAAATGGCAATTGGCTCCCTCCGGCGGAACAAAACAAGCAGATTCGGCAGGCTTTCAATCTCGCGAAAAACGGGAGCTGGCCGCGTGGTGACGTAGCTCCAGAAGCGGGAACTCAATTGGGATTCGCGCCATCGTCCAATCCGCGCCGGGGCCACCCTTGTCCTTGAGCTGCGGGGATTCCCACATGATTCGCGTCGAGGCGGGCACGCCACCTAATTTTTGTGGTGGGCGGGCGGGATTGGAGTGGAGTGGAGCGCGTGGCTCAATAGCAGAGTCTGCATTGCTGTTGCTCACTTGACCAACTCTACCGTATAGTATAGTTGCATGTGCGCACGGGTTCGATCCGCATGCGTCGGTAGGTGCCTTTGCAATGCGTGCTCCGCACCAAGACGACTAGTATTGTACATGCCGCAGCTCCTATGCATCTTACATGGATCGATTCCCTACATTGCCTGTCACTCGCTTCGCACTCAGGAAGACCCAGCCGCGGACTTTGCCGTCTCGTCCAAGGCCGGGAGCTCGGCCAGCTCCTTCTTGCCGCCCCCGACGCTGCCCCGGTCCCTGGCTAGCCCAGAGAAGTAGAAGCCGTAGAGGACGCCGCCGAGCAGCCCCGCCAGGTGCGACCACACGTCGAGCATGACGTTGCGGCGGAACTGCATCAGCACGTTTGCCGTCAGGAGCGCCAGGAACCCGAGCCCCTGCGCGCCGTCGTACGGGTCCGGCGGCAGCCCAAACACCTTGAAGCCCTCGAAGCGGTGGATGGTGAAGTAGGCCGCCATGATGCCGTACACGGCGCCCGAGGCCCCCATAGTGGACGCCGCCAGGTTTGACCGCAGCACCAGCGCCGTCAGCGAGCCCGCGAACCCGAGGAGCCCGCACCCGACGTAGACGGCTAGGAACGGCCCGCGGCCTACGTCGTCGTGCAGCCGCGTCCCGAACGGCCAGAGGAAGAGCATGTTGAGCAGCAGGTGCTTCAGGCTCTGGTGCGACGCTGTCACCAGCAGTGCCGCGTGCGGCTTGGGCGTCGCCGACGTCAGGATGAAGTGCCGGTTCATGAAGCGCCAGAGCATGGGCACCCTCCACGCCCCGTACACGACCAGGTTGAGCAGCACCAGCGCCCCGACCGTCGCCGCCGCGGGCGGCACGTCGGGCAGCAGCCTCTGGTCGCGCCGCGGCGCTTGGTAGAGGTCCGCCGCCGCCAGCCCGCCCGCCACGACCGCCACGGCCGTCAGGAGCGTGGGTGCCAGCCTGCGCGCCTTGCTCATCTCGGGCGGCGCCGCGAGGTCCGACGTCGCGCGCTCCGTGTACTCGAGCATCCGCGGGCTCAGCTGCCTGGGCGCCGGCTCGTCCGCCTTGGCCAGCCCTCCCGGGTTGAGGCGCGCCTCCTCCTCCTCCTTGAGCCGTTTCGCCTCCTCTCGCTGCTTCAGCTCCTCGCGCCACTTGGCCTCGTTCCGCTTGCGGATCCGGTCCATAACGCCTTCGCCGTAAACGTCTCCGTCCGGCTGCGATTTGAAGAGCCGCTGCTGCCACCTGCTCCCCCCTGCATTGGGGTGTGCACGCGCCTGCTGCTGCGAGCTGCCTGCCCCTTGCGCCGCCTTCGCGACATCCTCCTCTTCGATTGCGAGCAATTCGTCCTCGGCACGCAGGCCGGCGTTGATCACCTCATCCACAGGCACGGTGTGACGTAGGTACGCGAGCGCCTTGTCGATCTCGACCTTGGAGAAAACAGCCGTGTTCGGAGCCAGCATGGGATCTTCGAGCGAGCCGGCGACGCGGCGTCCGTGCAGGATTCGAAGGAGTATGTTCCCCTGGCGAGTAGAGATCCCCACGCCAAAGATACCAATAATCTCACCCTGTGACAGCTCACCATTCCTTGTGAACGGGAGGCCCTTTTCGTCGGTGTAGTCTTGCGGCAGATCCATGTAGCGTGTAATAACCCCCCTGGACCTAGATAGGTGTCGGCGTTGTTGGACCGTCATCGTGCCGGCGGGGCGCATCGGTATCACAGGCCGCCATTGTGTCGCTGTCGTGATCGAGGATGGTGGTTTCCTTGGGGATGGGTGGTTACTGTTGGCCAGCCGGCCGGCCTGGGCCCGGTAGGTCGAGTAGCATCGCCCGGCTGCGAGCGCTATGCACGGCTCCAAGGGCGTCCTTTGGAGCGAGCTCCATGCGGCGGCCCGCACACCACGGCTCAGCAGCCCGGGGCGCAGCCCTCCGAGGCTGGGCACGCAAAAGTTGCTCATTGGGGTTGCAACCGACGCTACAACTGCGTCGCTATCTCGGTCGGCTCGCGTCCATGGATGGTCAAAACACGCCCCCCGCGGTAGGGTTGGATGAGGTGGTGGTTTGAATGGGAGGAAGCAAGAGAAGATCCGGCAGTCTGGCATTGAGAAAAATATCAAGATGTCGGGCATTTTGATTGGTGTCGCATGCGACGACTCCACATTCGGCTGAGCTCACCCCTGTCGCAGAACTGAGGACCCCACCATGACCTATGACGAACCTGGAGAGAGCTTCATGGGAGAGCTGGAAAACAGAGGCGATAGCTTGAACAAACGATTTGAAATCGACCTCCCTTCTTTTCAGTTCTGCTCGTTTCTTAGAGTCTATTGAAGAAAATACGAGCCTCACAACTGTGCTTCGAAAGACTATCTGGTTCAACTGAAATTCAAGCATTTCACTTGCGCCTCTGAACGCTCGATATCAAACCGAGCCAAAAGCAGACCTTCCCAGCAGGGACCACACGCAACCGAAGACGACAAGGCAGGCAGAACCCCGGACATGTCCTCCGAGGCCCTCCCCATCTCGCCGGGCCGCTTCGCCGAGGCCATCCGGGACCTGCCGCTCGCGAGCCTGCACCTCAAGGTTCTGGAGCTGCGCAACTCCATCGCCCACCTCGACTACTCCAACGAGCAGCTGCGGCCCTTTGCCGAGGGCGTCGCGCCGTCCTTCGGCCAGGACCCGGCCGTGCCGTCGGTTCCGGACCGCGACTGCGCCGACGCCATCGCCGAAAACGAGACCGTCATCGCCCGCATGGCCGAGCGCGTCCGCCTCGTCCGCGCCGAGGTCGAGCGCCGCGGCTGCAGCTGGGCCGAGTTTGAGGAGTCACCCGCCAAGGAGGAGGAGGAGGAGGAGGAGGGCGCTGGTTCTACCGCTGCCGACGCAGAGACTACCACGCCCGCTGCTGCTGCTCCCGCCGTCAACGGCACGGCCGCCGCCCCCCGCGCCCCCGCCGACACGAGCGGGCTATCCGAGGCGTGGCGGGACGGCACCATCCAGATGGGCGTCATCAGGAACGGGCAGATCCACATGGACGGCGACGCGCCGCCGCCCGCGGCCGCGCGGCCTAGTGCGGGCGGCAGCCTGACTGACGAGCAGCTGCGGCGGGCGCTGGAGGAGCGGATGCGGCTTGCACAGGAGGAGGGCCAGGATGATACCGATGGCGCGGGCCTCCATCTCTAACCGTTCTCTGCACTACTCTTCCGCCTCCTCTTCCGCCTCCTCCTCTGCTCCTCTTCATTTGCTGCTGTTTACGAGGTGCCGGCGTTTTGCGTTGGAGTAGGGACAAGGACCTGCATTTCCCGAGGTCGGGGCCGCTGAAGGCTGGAGACAAGGGCGTGATATTGTCTAGCCCATGTTGAAAATCACACCATAAATACCCTATATGGTTGTTCAACCTGAGCGAGCAGCCTTGGCACGATGGATATCTAATCTCCAAAGTCACCAGCGGATGTCACCCGCGGAAGCTGCTCGTTGGCTTGGCCATTCGAAACATGGTTATGTTTTCGGCCGTCGTTTCCGTATTCCAAAGTCCCGAGCCGCGTTCGGGCTAGCGCAAAGTTCCAGATATGGTGCCGCTGAGGCTGAAGATGCAGAAGGATTCCAGCTAGTGCAGCACGACACGCCCGGCGGCATACCTAGAGTCTCGGGTTAAGAAAGGAGGACCAAGCCGTGGCTGGGCGATATTAAATTATCAAAACAAAAATAGAGAGAACCAAAACAATGACATGGCGAGATTTCCAAGAAAGCAACTTGTATCCATCGCAGCCCGACTCAACCCATGCCTATGCAGCTTTGATCCAATGCAGAATGCAAGACAAGAAAGGAAACTAATGCGAGAATCACCCAAACCATGGAGCCCGACCAGAATATTCCAATGACATGGACCGACACGACCTAGTCGGTGGGCGACGGCCGTTGCGCCCGCGCCTGGGCCACGGTGAGTATGTTGGGACCAGTGCCGATGCCCGTGACGGTGCGGACGGCCCAGTGCATCCAGCTTTCCGTTTCGAGCTGGATCTTGAGCTCGTCTGCCCGCGCCTCGACCGCCTCGACCTGCCGCTCAAACTCGCCCACCCCATCCTCGACGTCGGCCACCTTGGATGCGAGCGAGTTGACTTCGTACTCGAGCCGCTGTGCCAGTCCTTCCACGTCGCGAACCGCCTCTGTTGCCCGCGCCCGCTCTTCCGTCAGGAGCTCTGTCGACTGTCTGCTAACCAGCTCGTACGCCTCCCGGAGCTGGTCATAGAGGTCCCCTAGTTCGTCCCGCTGCCGCCCCAGCTCGCCGTCTAGCGCTTCCACAGAGTCGACCTGCCGCGCCGCCCAGGGCTCCGTAGACTGTCGCAGTGCTGTCACCTGGGCTAGCAGTGCTCGCGCCGCCTCGGCACCGCCCTTGCTAACCACCAACGCCGGTCTTTTTTCTCCGTTCGCTGCCGGGACTGCTGTCCTGACGTCATCCCCGCTGCCTGATGCCGCTGGGGCCTCTTCCAAGAACTCCAAGATCTCCTCCCACCGCAGCACCACATCCTCCGCCACGCTAAAGGATAGCCTCCGGGGCCAGCGGGCATCGTTGAGTGACCGGTCGTCCAGCGAGACGCTCGCGAGCGCCAAGCTGTGACGTCGCTGGAGCCACGAAGGAGGGGCTTCGTCGGGGCGCGCAAAGGCCGCGAGGTGTTGTTGGCGTGCCACTAGGTACACTTCGCTTTCGCCGGCTATTGACCCGCCCACAGACGACTCGTTCATCGGCACACCGCCTGCATGGTTGCCATCCCGCTCCGGTGGAGGCGCTGCTGCCGGTCCGGTCGCCGGACCATCTTCATGCGGCTCCTCTGAGCGCCTCGAGTCTGGGACGGACCCGGCGTTACTGGGCGGCTGCTGGCTGTTGCGGAGGGCGCTGGAGTATTCTTCTGGTTTGTTCTTCCATGTAAAGGCACGACCCACCATGGCGGGGCTGGAAAGACTGGTGGCGCTCTGAGCCAAGCTCGCGATGCTGGGGCTCGTATACCCCGCGTCGGCGGCTTCGTCCCTCGAGGGCCGCGCCTGATGTCCGCGACGGCTGCCACCGACGGCGTCACGTATACGACCGAGCCCGGAACGCGCGTCACTAACTTTGCCGCCCACCCTCTTGAAAACAGTCTTCCTCAGCGCATCCTTCTCATTTGGGCTGTTTTCGGCCGGTCCACCAGTCGCGACGCCAGCAGAGCTTGGGCCTGGTGCCGACTGCGTCGTTTCAGCCGTGGCAGACTCCTCCTTGGTCCTCAACGTCAGCTCGTCGTCTGCAGGCATCGTACGCACGCGTTTCCCGGTCTGCGCCCCTCCCGGTGTTGCTGTGGTTGGCGTGGACGCGTCGTCTCTGCCCCCGCCAAACAGGCCGTTACCCATATCGCGGTCAGCATGGTCCTGCGTGGGCCTCTTGGGCTTCCCGTGCCAGAGCCACTTGGCCCGCTCGCCATGTGTGAGGCTGATGAATCGGTCAAGGTCCAAGGTCTCGATATCGGCCATGTTGCCCTTGTCGCGGCCACCCGAGACCATACCGATGACCATCTCGCCTCTCTTGCCTCCGATCTCGGCAACCGTGGACTTCACAGCGCGCTGAACACCCCAACCGCCCTCGCCAGTGGCGGCCTTGGCGGTGACGCTGTGTAGCTTGAGGAGGGTCTGGCGGTCGAGGCGGCGGGTGCGCTCGAGCTTGAAGGATTTTTGAAAGTAGTTGATGCCGCGCTTGGTGCTCTCAATATCAAAGACATCCTTGCCAACAGGGGCGCCGTACCAGCTCAGGCGCTTGCGAGCGCCCATGAGGGTGCCCAGGAGGGCGGCGACAGTGGTGGGGCCCAGGATTCCGTCCGAGGGCTCGATATTGAAGTATTCGGAGCCGATTTCGGTCCACCAGTTGTTAACGGCGGTTTCGGTGACGTCGCACAGCAGGCCGTCTACATATTCCTGCTCGATCTTTCCAAAGATGAACAGCGCGGCCTGACACAGCTTGACGAGTTCGAGCACGGCCTGGAAGAAAGGGATGCGGTCACTCGTCTTGTATAGCTGTAGAAACTTGGCTTGCGTGGCAGCTGTGGGATCCGAGAGCGTCATGCCGGAGCGGCCGGAGCAGCCCATGCGCTTGAGGTCCTCGTTGACGATGAAAACCTCGCGGTGCTTCCTGATGTCGCCGTCGGGCACGGGGATGACAGTAAGGGCGGACGGGAAGCTGCTGAGATTGGTAACCATAAGTTCGCCCAGTGACGTCTCCTTGGGGCGGGCGTGGTAGTCGTGAATAGCCCTGAAGTACATGCGCAGACGCGGAGACCAGTCCCTCTCGTCGGCGGGGATGGACATGACGCCAACGACGACAGAGTGCTTGGGGTCGCCCGTGTAGGTGACAATGACCAGCGTTGGCGACCGTCGCGAGCAGGCCCACTGCTCAACGAGGTAGAGCTCGTATCCGGTGAGGACGGCGCGCCTCTCGACCACAGAAACCGCAGGCTCCTCCTCGAGATAGCGGAAGGCCACGGGGTCGGGGAAGACGACATGGCGACGAGGGGTGGCGCCGAGGTTGCGGCCCGAGGTGGAGCTGTCGGAATGCCTTTCTGATGGCCTCTCGGGTGGCTTCGTTGGGTCGCTAGCGACCGAAGCGGCGCTCAGGGCCGAGCCGGGCGCGGGAGACCAGGCGGCGGTGGCCGGCGTGGTGGCATCGTTGTGGGTGGCGTGGCGAGGATCGCGATGGGGGTCAGCGGGTGGTTGTCTCTGGGCGGCCGAGCCCTCGTCGTCTCGGGGGTGGTGGCTATGTGGCGGTGATCGCGGGTTGGAGTTTGGCGGGGTGGAAAACCAGAAGGACATGACGGCGGCAAGGGACGGGCGGTGGCGGTGGCGGAGGGCGGAGGGCGGAGGGCGGAAGGAGCAGCAACCGGCCACCAGGTTAGCAGTGCTGGGACAGCGGCCTCGCGGTGGTCCAGGCGAGGTCGCGCTCCGTTGCTGCGGCGGGTGGGTGTGGTGCAGGCAGTGTCTGCGACGATGGCTCTAAGGACAAAGGAGGCCGCATGGTGGGACTGAAGCCCAGGAGACGAGCGAGGGTTGGTGTTGGTGAGAGGCGTGGACCTTGGCGATGCTGGGCCGATGTTAGTACCAGGGATTTGCCGACGCCAAATGAAGCCCGAACAGCGCAGCACCAACCGACGTGGGTACCTTGGCGACCCGACGGGGGTGGGCATGCATCAGCTCGCTGTTGGCGACTGCACGTGCGGCGCCGGTGACGACAGGCAAACCAGCAGCCTTGTGCCTTGTGATGGATTTAGTAACCTCCTTGGTGGTGGGTAGGCCGCCTCTCAATCAGTCTGCTAGGCCAGCGAACCAAAGCAGTTAAGTCGGATTGGCGACGGTCGCATGTGACGGCGTCATACCGCCCTCAGTCATCACAGCGACAGTGACTCCACCCTGCCTCGGCGCGGTACCACGACGGCGGCCGCGCTGCCAAGCGGTACCTGGAAATATGACCGACTCTGGTCTACCTGAGGGGCACAATTGCATCCAAGATTCTACAAGTTTCAGACGGGGCGAAACAAGAATTGGAAGGAACAGAAATAGAACAAGGAAAAGGATCGCAAATGTAGAACAAGTGCTGAGCAAGATAGTATCGAACAAACAAGACCCCTGCTAACCTGAGGTCAGAGTGGGTACAAATGGATAATGGATACGTCTAGCGGAGTCTAAATGAACTGGAGCCGAAAGTGTGCATACCTACTGCCTCCAGAGACGACAAGACCTCTCCCTCAATTCCGCCGCTGCAGGTAGCACGCCTTGAGCCAGCCCACCATAGCGCATGCCTCCTGCTGCATGGCATGACATGGGCGGAAACTGTGAGCTGCCACCACTCGGGCAGCACGGACTTTTCACGTCCCCGCCAGGCCGACCTGACTGATCAGTCTCCTGCACCAGTCTCCTGCATCAGTCTCCTGAACCCAAACACAGCCAACCCGCCGCCCTCCTCCGTCTTCGCCCCTCCACAACGCTCGACTGCGTCCGACTGCGCTCCAGTGCCCGCCCCAGCTGCAGAACCAACCTACCTATTTGTCTACCTATTTGTCTGACTACCTGTCTACCCATTCTTCTACCTACCGACTTTACCTAGATATCCCTACACCTTCGAATCCGCCTGCCTAAGCTGGAGCCGCGACGGACGGCGCCCAAGCCAGGCCCCTCGCCATCATGGCGGACAAGCCCAAACCGGTGGATGCTATGCCGCAGCTCCACAAGGACATACAGACCCTCGCCGGAAAAGCGCGCCTGACCGAGGCCGTTGCCGACATCGACGACCTCATACAGAAGCTCACAGAGGCCAGACAAAGTGTTGCCGGGGCCAAGGATCCTCACACAGCAACTCTTGCCCTCACCAAGTTGCAAAACCCGGTCAAGGAGGTCTTTGACCGTATCAATGTCGATCTGCGGAACGTGTCAAAGGTCCAGAGGGACCTCGGGAAAGCACTTGACAAGGTGGGCTGCTTCTTTTGCCATCGCCCCTGCTGCTCCTCGCTTCCGCTCTATTTACTGATACTGTCCACCGGCTCTTGTTTCCAGGCGCTCCCCGTCACAAATATTCCCACCGACCACGATGCCATGGATGACCAAGCCACCCTGATAAACCGTGCCATCGCAATGCATCTCCTGCGCGAGGGCCAGTTCTCCGTGGCCAGCACATTCATTGCCGAGTCGCGGAACGCTTCAGCACACCAGCGGTTGCGTGCCCGAGATGGAGACCAAGGTGCTGAGGGCCGTGATGACAGCAGTCAAGAGACCGATATGACGATAGACTCGGAGGTGGACACCAGGCAGGCCGATGAGCTCGCCATGTCGCTGCAGTCCCAAGAGCTCCAGGCCAAGTTCGAGAACATGTACCACATACTTCAGGCGCTACGGCGGCAAGACCTGGGTCCTGCGATCGACTGGTCTCGCTCCCATTCGACCGAGCTCGAGTCGCGCGGCTCCAACCTGGAATTTGAGCTTTGCAAGCTGCAATATGTTCATCTGTTTGTGACGGCCGGGCCCGGTGCCGCGTACGAGTACGGCCGCCTCAACATGTCTCGCTTCCACGACCGACACCTGGTCGAGATCCAGCGCCTGGCTGGCGCTCTCGTCTATGCCCCGAACCTGCCCGACTCCCCCTATGCCTCACTCTTTGACTCGCCCACCGCCTTCCTTGACGCCGCCAACTCCTTCACCCGCGAGTTCTGCTCCCTGCTCGGCCTATCGGCCGAGTCGCCTCTGTATCTCGCCGCCACTGCCGGCGCTATCGCCCTCCCGCGGCTGGTCAAGTACATGAACGCCACCAAGGCTCACGGCGCAGAGTGGACCACTGCCCACGAGCTCGCATTCGAGACGCCTCTTCCGCACTCGTTCATGTACCACTCGGTCTTTGTCTGCCCCGTCTCCAAGGAGCAGACGACGACGAGCAACCCGCCCATGATCCTGCCCTGTGGTCACGTGCTCGCCAGGGACAGTCTGAAGAACCTGATCAAGAACGGTCAACGCTTCAAGTGCCCGTATTGCCCGGCAGAGGGAAATATTAAAGACGCTCGGCCTGTCATCTTGTAGGACAATGGGTCCAGCAACACGGCATACGTGTGCTCGGCACCCAGTGCCAGGCAGCGTCCGGAGCCCATGCTAGGTGCTTGGGTTGAGGTTGGAGAGGACCATGACGGCACCGAAGCGGATCGCGAGCCAGCAGCCTCCAACGGCGGCGCTGACTATGACGAAGGCTACGAGTTGGGAGAAAGCCAACACGAGCGGGGTAGAGCGCTCATGGTTAGTAGTCCGTCCGCGCCGGTAGCTCCAGCTACAGGCAGCGAAGACGGTGAAGACGACGGCGGCGGCAGCGACGACGTCAGTATCACAGAGGAAGACTTTCTCTGGCATGCGTTGCAGGAGGAGGCTGCGTTGCAGGAGAATGGGTTGCAGGAGGTTGCGGCGCTCGATCCTTCGGATAGTGGCTCGTCAACGATATCGAGGCCGACGTCCCACGACCGGCGATCGCCTTCTCCCCGAGAGTTGCAGCCGAGTCAGCCGTTTACGCGCCGGAATGCCGTAACATCCACTGATATCCTACAGCTTTTCCCCGATGGCGAGGATGGCCGCCTCGCCTGGAGGGTGGTTGCGAGCCATGAGTGGGGCTGACGCGTGGCAAGAGGGTTGGGCTGTTTGCCTATCATCTGTGCGCGTTCGATTTTCATCTTTGGCCTTCTGACGCGCCTACGACTTCTCGCCGGAAGCACTGGACAGATCAGCTTCTGCGCGCCCTCTACCCACCGTGCTGGTTCGCGCACACATTCAGTCACAGCAAGAACGTAGTTGGTTTAGCGTTCTAGGCAGTTTAATCGCGATTGCCTGACTCGGTTTTCTTCCCGCGCGCGTTTCTCTGTCCCTCCTCTTCTTCTCGCTTGCGACTCACTTAAGCGTCCGATAGCTACATACATACTCGAGCGCAAGTTCATGTCTGCTCTACCTAGACTTTCTCCGCTCCACTATCTTCCGACCATGATTGGGTCGATATTTGGTTCACGTCTCAGTCGCGGAGCCATTCTCTAGCTTGGAGTCAGGGCATGGCTGGTGTCTAGATAATCGAATCAACGGTTGAACCAAAAAGAAGCTTGGATCTGCCGCCTCATTTTTTATTCAGTGTGCCTCAGCATACAGGCCCAGCGTTCCCGTCAACCATAAGCCTTTGAGCATGTTCTGTAATAAATAGGACCCGGCCCGTGACCGAGGTCCCTCCCAGTGTGGAAATGTCAACGGAGCGTGTTGTACAGCCAGGCTCTGCCGACCTCGTCGCTATCGTACGCCCATCCGAGCGCAGACTCCGCCGCCTAGTACCAGCCCCGCGCCCGACTCTTGTTTGTGCGCGCGTAGCCACGGATGCCTCTGCCATGTCCAAACAAAGTATATATGGCGAGGCCATCGTCCAAATCTGCCACCATCACGCCGGTGTGCCCCCACTGATGACGCCGATGTAGGCTATGCAGTTGTCCTTGACCTTGCCCCATTCCGTGGTGACGGAGCCCACCGACGCGATGAAGACCTTGGGGCTCGACCAGACGCCCACAAACGTTTGGATGTTGATCAGGTTCTAGGCGATGGCGTCCCAGATGGTGATGACCTTGGCGACGGCATCGGCCACTTTCTGCAAGGGCTCACGAAGGCTGATAGGGGGGTTTGGGCAGGCATGTCAGTCGGGTGGTCATGCTTCGGTCGCGAGCTCTTCTCAGAGGCCGTCATCTTTTGGGTGATGGGTTGGAACTTACACTGTAAGGTTCTTGTTGGTGGTATCGGCGGTGTTGGCTGCGCTCTTGAACCTTTCGATGGCAGCGTCGATCTGGTTTTACCCAAGATTGGAGGAGAACAATCGAGATCAGCCAACATATTCCCCCGACGAGGAAGACAGGAAGGGGAATGAGTGGGAGGAGGCATCTAATGGATTTTGAGGGACTCACGCCTGCAAGGCTTGTCAAGTCCTTGATTCCCTTGTACAAGAGATATCCACCCGCGCCGATAGCGAGCAGGCCTAAAGTGCAGAAAGAGTTAATAACTGTTATACCCGGGGAGCCGAGGAGTTGGCGGTCATGGAAAGAAAGAGAGAAAAAAAAGTCCCAAGGGCCAAGCCTACCGTAGGGCATGGTAAAGGCGGCGATGGCGAACAGAGCCAGGGCGCCAAAGATCTCGAGCACGCCCATGACGGCGGTCTTTGTGTACTGCCCGCGCTGCGTCTCCAGCGCGTTGCGGGCGCTGTCGGTGCCCTGCTTGAACTTGTTGATTTCGTTCTCGAGGTTGTCCTGGCACAGCTTCCACTTCTGGCCGAACCTTGTGTTGTCTTGGTGCTTGGCATGTGGGACAGAAAGGAGACTCACGGCCTGGAACCGGAGAACAATGTCACGGATCGTCAGGTTGTCCTTCTCGTCCGGAGTGTCCTTGGTCTTGAAGGGGTTCAGGATCTGCAGCTAGTCTGTGTAGGGGGCCTGGAGAACGTTGGAAAAGGTATGGATGATGCCCTTGCATTCGCCAGCCAGCTTCTCCAGGGCTTCTTGGACCTCGGTAGGCGGTCTAAAGAGAGCGTTAGTACCGAGGCACGCACAATGTCGGTGGAGGGAAAAGCCACTTGCCCTAGATAGTCAATCATCTTTTCTAGATCCTCTTGCGCCTTCTGGTCGTCATCGGCAGTGGTGCTCTCTGCTACCATAGCCTCAGACATGAACTCGGACGGAACAGCCTCGGCCTTGGAGGCTATCATCTGGGACGTGAGAGCTGCCGTGTATCTGCTGGCCACCGCCGGCGAGCTCGCCAGTTTCCTCATAACAGACACCTTTCGCGGATCTATAACAAGTCTGTGTTTTAAAGCTATGAGGTTAGTAAGCTGCTCAACAAGTAAAGCCAGGGGGGAATGGAAAGTCAGCATAGGTTGTCCATGTCTTTCGTATCCCTAGACAGCCATCTCTTATCAGGCTCGTCAGCCTGGAACTCACGCTTGAATAGGTCTGCCTTCTCAGCATTCTTGGCATCGATCTGGCCCGCATACTTGGCCACGACAGGGCCAACAGAGTCCGCCAGGCTTGAAAAATGATAAAAGAATTGTATGTCAGTGTTATTCGCCTGAGTACGAACTATGTTAGTGGAGCTCACTTAGAAGGGGTCTGCGAGCGCGCTAGGGTGCTGGTAACAGTAGCATAGCCGATGAGGTTTCGGCATGGCTGCTTTTCAAAATCGGTCCAGGCCAGGAAGTTGGACTGCCCTCTAGAAACATCTGGCGAGTGCTTCCGAGACCGGCAGCTGCGATCCTCTTGTCGGCCTCGCTGCCAGATCCGGCATTCTCGGCCGCCTTGAGGTTCTCGAGGAAGGGAAAAGAGAATATGTCGGAGAAGGAGGAGGTGGCCGAAGAATAGGAGCTAGTGAAAAGGGTGAGGGCCTGATCTCACACCCTCTCCAGCTCTCAAACCCAGGCCAGTTCCCTCCCAAGCGCTCCTCAGACAAAATCCGGACTGGACTCCTGATCATTACTTCAAACAACTCTTCAACGCATCCCTTACCCCTCTTCTTAACCCCTCTATCTCCTCCTTGTCTCATTTACCCCCTCATTTATAGCTGATACCTCCTCATACTAGCCACAATGCCCAGCGCAGCACCTGCCGAGTACAAGACGCTGGCCCCTTACGGCTTTGAAGGCGTGGGGGACTGCACCATCAACCTACAGACGGCGCTTGAGTGTATCAGAGATATCAAGAGCAACCCCTTTGTGGTTACTACTGCGGATGGCAGTTCCTCACCGTCCGAGTCCGCTTTTTCTCAGCTTAATTCTGCCTCCACGTCCGTCAACACACTTTCCGCCACCCCCGTTGAAGCCTTCCGCTCATGTTCGGCGTATGCAAACGTCCTTACAACCCTTGCCCCGAACGCCTCGGACTCGGACGCGTTCTGTACGGCTCTCAATGGCGCAGTCCAGGCGATCCCCAAGATTGATCAAGGTGCCGCTGCAGAGGCCGCCAAGGTATGTTGCGATCGACGATTATTGCCGGTTTTCTCAGCAACTGATGACGAGACACCATAGTCTGCGCAAGGCGACATCGCCAATGCCAGTGGCTCCATCTCCTCGGCGGCAGTGTTGGCCAAAAGGATCAAGCTCCTCCTCGCCGCCACCATGACGGGGAAACCGCCCAAGCCGAACCCTTTGGACGGCGTGAGCCTGCTGAGCGTCGTTGTGGGCTGCTTCAAGCCCATCACGGGCGACCTAGACATCGCCAATCCCGGGTCCCAAGCCAAGTTGCTCTACCTTAGCGGCCCGCCTTTGGCCGACATCCCCCTTCTTGCTGCCCGCTTTGCTTACCTAACCTTATCCTGTAACCCTCCGTCCTGGCTCCCTGCCCCGCCTTCCTGGTATGGTCGTAGCACCTCTGGGCCTCTCTGGACCCAAGCCAGGCAAGCCGGAAGTCCTGCCCTGAGAAGGGGTAGGAGGCACCAGCCAACCTAGCGCCCACCAACCTAGCGCCCACCAACCTAGCGCCCACCACCAACATCGGAAAATTTTTCAACAAAAGCATCTCATCTCACTTCCGATGCGCACACTCCACACGTCAGGCTAATCCAGGATCAAGGTAAGTAAGCCATCTGCGTTCCCTAGTTTTAACGAATGCATCTATATTGACAACTAGCAATCAGGACTCCCGCCATGGCCGAGTCTCGTTTTGAATCGGAGCAGTACACGTCCGAGGCATTCGTCGAGAGTGTGGGCGCAGTTCTATTCCGTCTCTCTTCCCGGGAGGTCTGCGTGCTTCATATTCTGGAGCGTGACGAATATGTGCTGGCCAAGGGACGGCGCAACTGCGGAGAGGCTCGCCAGGTAACAGCCCTGCGCGAGGTCACCGAAGAGACCGGCTTCGCCTGTCGCCTCCTTCCTTTGAATATGCACACTCGTGCCCCGCCAGCGGTGGAAACCGAGCAGTTGGACGACCAGGCGCGCTTTTACACCAGTATTTGCGAGCCTTTTACCCTACAAGTCCGCCGCCTCGGTGAGAGTCAAATCAAGCTCATTTGGTGGTTTGTCGCTGCCGTGGACGAGGAGACGCCAGCAGGGGAAGCGCCCGAGGGGGACAGATACGCGGTGGAATTTCACAACTACACGGAAGTTCTGGACAAGTTGACGTTCCAGATGGATCGCGAGATGGTCAAGAAAGCCATCGAACTCGTGGAGAACACATACACGGAGTCAACCTGATGTGGTAGAATGTTCTATCGTCTTGCGTCTTGTAGTTATCTCCTAGCATCCGAACTCCTCGAGCCTCCGTTTAATCATTCACGGCAAACCCTTCACACCACGCTAGCATTCCCCGGTACCAAGCCCTTGCCCTCCGAAAATGACATCAGTGTAGAGATGGACTCTGAAAGTGGTCCATTATTGTCCAGCACGAGATCTGCGTACGACCGTATGTTCATGGCGCCCCTTTCCAGTTTCGCCCCGTCGTTCCTGGTCAGTTGCTCCAAAGGTACCAGCGATCTCTCTCGTCGCTGGCTCTCGCATGCGTCAATGAACACGATCTGGAATTTCTCGCCTAGCCACAACTTGAGATGTTTGGTGACGGAGTCGCGGTGGAGGCTCTCGATGGTGAGCAGCCGAAGCCAGTAGTGGCTTCTCTGGAACCGGTCAAGCTCGTGGAACAGGTACAGCGCTTGCTCCTTTTCCGACATGTCGTAAACTGACAGCCCGAGCGCCTCACTTACCGTATTGTTGAAGTAGGCAATCTTGGCCCGGAATGCCTGCTTCGTCCCGAAAATGGCGCAAAAGGCTTCGGCAATGGTGCTTTTGCCACACTCGGAGAGCCCGCCGAATGCGTAGATGCCGACCAGATGATGCATAGTCGGTTGAAAGAGCGGATTGGCTGTCTTTTCGAGGAGGAATTTGCGAAGCCGATCCTGGACGCATCCAATGCTGTCGGTTGCGGTGACGTGAATAGTGTGCTGGTATGCCCCCGCGAGCTCTTGTCTCCGCAGTTCAGATTGAAGCAACCGTTGGTACCGGTTGTACCTTTTGTCGTCGGGGCTGCTTTCCCGGCTCATGGTGATTCGAACTGATTCATCCAGCGTCTTCCCATGCTGTATGAGAACTGCCAGGTTCTCTGTTGGAAGACGAAGGCCATGCTTGTCCAGGATTCCGTCAAGGATTCTTCGGGCATTGGCCAGATCCCCATCCTCGTCCTTCATGGCAATGACCGCGACCGCGACAGCCTCGAACATGTTAATGCCTCGATCAAAGACAACCACGTCTCCTTTCTTTCTTGTCGCATTCCGATATCTGCGGGCTAAAGCCCCAAAAATCGTAGAAACAAACTCCACAGGCGTCGAACCCCACCACCACTCCTTCAGGCGACCTTGACGATGCAACTCGGCTATCGTCTCGTCACTGTCGTGAAGACCGCCAATCTTGGATATCGTAAAGTGGGTCGGAAGGAGTTCAAGCTGCGTCGTCTTCCCGACATTGTCAGGCCTGTTGAGTGAGATGGTGAACACCATGTTGCGAAGGAGGGAGAGTGTGCCAAGACAGAGTGCCGCGGTGGATAGCTGGTCAATGAAGACGTCGATTTGCTAGTGTCCTGAAGCTGAAAGAAGAATTCTATCCGGAGAAGAGAAGAGGTAGGGGTTTCCTGAAATTATATGGTGGTAGACCGACCAGTATGCTGCTCATCTTGGTCGTCAAGCGCCACGGCCAACGACCGCTCCGCCTCTTGCCCCCGGCCTAGCTCGGCACTTTTATTCTCGCGAGGCCTTGATTGCCGCCGTGGCACGGGTGAGTTGTTGGCCCGTTAAGTACCGTAGGCAGCAGTAGTATGTTGGGCTACGACCAATGGCCGCGTTTCGCCTCGCGGCCTGGACCCGGCCTGGACCTGGCCTGGTGCCTCCATTGGTTGTCGCCGTGGTACAAGTGAGGCCACGGCCTGACCGGCTACAACCAGCGGCCATGGCTCCCGCCTCGTGATCAAGACCCGGCCTGGCGCCCTCCTAGATTTCCCTAGACATAAATCGACCTCGCAGCCAGCCACGCTCGAACTGCTCAAGTCACCCCATCACGCAGAAACTCGCCTTGCTACGTACTGATGACATCTCCTCGCTTTGATTTCCTCCAAGTGGGGAGGGCGTTCGTTGATTTGAATCGCGTCCCTGCCCTACCAGCCATTCTCGCCATCTTTTTGGGAGGCAGCAACTTATATTCCGCCAAAGGCAACCCCGAGAATCATCATGCCGACTGGGATGGCGTCATTGTTGTTCGCACCAAACTCGATATCTTCACTCTGGTGAACCAGAGACGCCGGGATCTGTTAGCGCTCTTGGGCATCGCAACGGAAGAGATGCCAGAATTCAGCGTGCCCGAACCGTCTTCCCCTCTCTGGGATGAGTTTGACGCTCTCAGAATTGCCGGCTTTACCGAGACACACTCCAAACGGTCTGTTAAGGTACTCAGCCTCGAGTACTTTTGGGGCCCAAAGTCTACACTCAACATCCTATCCTACAAAGACAAGAGGGTATACCCGGCAGACGATCTTGGTACTGCGAAGATTTCTCGCGTACAACAAGCAACTCGACTTCCTTCCGGACTGCTGGTCCTTCACGATCAACTGGTTTACCAATCGCCTCCTACGGCTTGTGTTCATGGACACAAGAGTTCCTCTGCCTCGTTCGGTGTCACTGCCGACCTTATCGTTTCAGGAACTTGCCTTTTCGGCAACCTTTCCTACGGCCGACAAATCAAGAGCCGGATACTGTCATCTTACTCGGCAGCCACCCAAAGGCACGCAACAATACAGTCCTTCGCCAGGCACACGCGATTCTCGACTGACTTCATAGACTGGCTGTCGAAGGAGCTCTCCGATTTGAACCGACTCGACCCTCTCACCCTTCCGCGACCCAGTTGCGTTTGCCCTTGCTTTCCCAAAAACGCGAGTTTCCTCTATGGCACGACGAATACCACACACGAATTGGTTGTTCAGGACTTCTCCGAGAGAGCGAAACGGGTGCCTCTGGTCGTTTTCCATCTTGTTCAGCAAGGGCTGTTTCAGTCACATCAACGGCCACATTCTGTCTTCTCCTCCAACTCCTCCACCTACGAGGTGCTGGTCCCCGCGGTCGAAGGAGATGAGACGAAACTTTTCGCCAAGCAATCACGACACCAACTCCAGGAAATCTCGGGAGCAACAACCGCGGCCATTTACTATCCCCGAATTCATATCCCTCGGCTCACATCTTCTGGTAATCTTCTGTACCCGTTCTTCGACGGCATCACGGAAGCAGAGCTTAGAATGTCTTTCATTCACGGCGGTCGCAGCCACTGGCCTTCACTCGAACTGCTACTCTACACAGAGATGGTGAAAGCAGAAGACACACTACGCGCATACCGGACCTGCCTAGGTGGAATGGAAGGAAAGAAGCAGACGGTACCTCCTAACGAGGGAATCCAGCGCTTCTTAAGATCGCGAGTGGCCGACGACGCGAGGTTTACCGAGTTCTACCGCGACGGATTTTACATTTCCGGGAAATCTATCCCCATGGAAAAATTCCTCGCTCTACCTTGGAAGGTCAATGGCGCTGTCTATCCATCACTGCGCACGCTTTTCCGCAATGCCCTCGAGGTACTCCATCCACAGTCGACTCAGATGCAGACTTGCCCTATCGCATTCGGGCTCGGGGATGCCCACGGAGCGAACGTCATGATCTCGCCGAGTTCTTCACCAGACAACAGCCGTGAGATTATCTATCTCGACCACGAAGTGGCAGGCTTCCACGCCATCCTGCTTGATCTTGCCAAGCCCTTCTACAACGATATCTTCTTCGAGACGCTATACGCGGATATTCTTCCAGCTACAGAGGACATCGCGTATGAGATCGACGAAAAGTCAATCAATGTGAGGTTCACACCTCGGGTTGATGATGTCACCCAAGCTATCTTTGAGATCAAGACTCGGTATCTCCTACAACCGCTTTGCGAATTCGTCCTAGAGTTAGGTGGGAATTTAGAGAGGAACGTCACGCTTTTGTCGAATGCGCTGCTTCTCTGCGCGACACTGACTCGAAACTACGGAGCGTCGTATCCAACATTGTTCATGAATATGGCTACAGGTATCGTCTTGTCAACGGCAAATGACTGGAAAGAGTTCTATTCGTGTTTACGATCGCTTGGATTAGACTCTTAGGCCTGGGGATTCGGACTGGAGCGAAGGGATGCAAGAACGCCGATGCGGGACCGTTGCTGAACGATGCCACGTCCGGAACAAATCAATTCTAAACAGGCAAGCAGCCAAACGTTATGTATTATACAAGCCAATGCTACCAATCTATTTCATTTTTTTAACCTTTCCTATAGTTACTTTTCGAATGTTGTTTATGGGTGTGAGGGGATGAAGAACCTAGGAAAGGTCAGCAAAAACAAGGTTACCTAGTTCCAACACCATTTCCTTCCCGCCCTAGCAGAATTCCTCGACGTGGCCCCCTTTTCACGTCTCGAACAGGCATTCGAGCCGGAATCTGAAGAATCCTGCCAGGCATCTGTTGCCTCGGTTATCCCCAACCTATGGCGCCAATGGCAGCGCCCGGCAGAGCAGACCCATTCAGTACGGCTGAACGCGGGTTTGGCCAATCCAGCCAGGAGGGTCAGGCCGAGCCACGACAACGGCCGCTTCAAAAACTGCGACAAAAGTATGGCTCTCGAAAGGTCATGGCAGATGTGCTTCTCCATCTGAATATCGAGCTGAGCCTTGATCGTATTCCACACAGGACCATGCTGGCAATGGGTTTAGAGAACCCTGATGCCGGTGTTGACAAGGCGCCGCCCCCGGCGCGCCGACGATGCCTTCGATCGCGCGAGGGCCATACGGTCCAGCTAGTCGAGGCCGATACCCTGAAGATCACGGGCGATCACAAAAACTTCAACTTTGGAATACAACCCTGGCAGAACAGTCACAATTCGATGACGCCACGGCTTTTGGGTTACGGATGCCCACGTTGAGAGGCTGATAGAATTTGAGATTGGAAGGCTCAGCAAGTTGGCTGCGGCAGATACACCAGGGAGTAGTCAGCTCAGGCAAGGTGGGCAAACACCTTAGCCAGGACGGGCCATGCACCCCGGGTCTGAGCGACTTTAAAATGCCTTCATAAATAGGAAGCCGTAATGGCCGTGATAACATAATGCAAATAAGACGCCACGCCACTCCACGAGTGGTTGGGGTTTCGGGCTCCCGCACATAGTAGTAACCACTAATCACCTCCCGAGTTCGATTCCGAGTCGGGACGCTAGTTTAATTCGACCCTAATACACGTCAAACTCTCGGCATTGGCCCCCGCGTCCAGCAGGAGCCGGGTGACGTCTTCGTGGCCGCCTGCCGAAGCCGCGTAAAGGGCATTGCCGTAATAGCCCCCCTGCGCGTTAACGTCGGCCCCCGCGTCTAGTAGGAGCCGGGCAACGTTTTTGTAGCCGTGTACCGAAGCCGCCTGAAGGGCGTTGCCGTAGTCGCCCCTTGCGCGTTAACGTCGGCCCCCGCGTCCAGCAGGAGCCGGGCAACGTTTTCGTGGCCGTGTACCGAAGCCGCGTAAAGGGCGTTGCCGTAATTGCCCCCTTTGCGCGTTAACGTCGGCCCCCGCGTTTAGCAGGAGCCGGGCAACGTTTTCGTAGCCGTTTGCCGAAGCCGCGTAAAGGGCGTTGCCGTAATTGCCCCCCTGCGCGTTAACGTCGGCCCCCGCGTCCAGCAGGAGCCGGGCGACGTTTTCGTGGCCGTTTGCCGAAGCCGCGTGAAGGGCGTTGCCGTAATTGCCCCCCTGCGCGTTGACGTCGGCGCTGCCTCCTGCTAGAATAACGGTGACTAGCTTTCGGTAACCACGAAGCGATAATACGTAAAGGAGTCCTGCATCCATATTACGCTCCAAGTATGAATGACCGTTGACCGTCGAGAAAAATATCTTCCACCATCCAAACCAGTTATTTCCCATGCGCAGCCATCGTGCAATCTCCTGTTGCATTGTCTCTCCGGACAGCGCCTTCTCTGCGTGGTCGAACATATAGCTCGCTGCATACTGCAGAAATGGATAGTCCTTGCTTAACTGCCTTATATGCTGCTCGCTAGTTAAGACAATGTCTAGTTGCTGGATAAAGGATCGGCAGCGATCCCACAGTTTCCCGTGGCTGGCACTGATCGGGTCTGGTTCCAGCGTCGGATCCAGCGTCTGCAATCTCTTGTTCCGAAACAGGAAGTCGTTAACCGATAAATGAATGAATTGCACAGACTTTGGGTATCCTATTCGCGCCTCAATGAGGCCCTTGGACGAGGCGGTGATGCGTCGTTGGATGGTGGTCATGGTGATCTTTGATCGGTTCCACGGCCCACTGTACTCCGGAGCCGTTCCCGCTAGCTCGGCGAAAAAAAGCTCTTCGGGATTCAGCGGCCGCTGACTGAGCAGTACCCACTGGAGCATACGTATCGTCTCGGCCTTATTCGGATCGTTTTTGCTTAGGAGCTTGTTGAACACCTCCTCGAGATTGGCTGGCACCTCCTCGAGTGCTTTGTGCATGGCCTCCAAACGGCCGTCGTTGTAGGCTCGGTTGAGCAGCGACACCACAATAACGACCCACATGAAGATGCCGCCTGCTTTCCTCCAAACCTTGGCCTTAATGTCGTTATCGTGCCCTTCTAGCCTCCGTTTGATATATGTAACAATATCCATTTCGTGCTCTGCGCTCGCCTCCACGGTCAACTCTAAAGTCTTCCTCATGCTGACGTTGGGATAATGGCGGCTGGAAAGGCAGGTCCTTAGCGTAACACCGACTTGGACGGCATTAATGCTTAAAATCTCAAGGAAGTCGACAACATCTCGAACATCTCGGTTGTCACACTCGTCGAGCGCGTCGATAAGGAGGAGGAGTGGCTTCGACTGCCGCTTGTTGACCACCGAGCGTATGAAATCCTCCAGTTGTGCTCGTGACCACGCCCACTCCCCTTCCTTACACACCCTCTGCTTCTCGTAGATGGGGAGGAATCGTTCGTACAGCGTGTCGTCTTTGTCGAGGAGCTGGTATACGATCGACCGCAGCATGCCTAGAGGCGTCTTTTCGAAAATTTCGCCTCGAGCATTGAAGAAATATGTCACGATCAGGTGGTCGTCGAAAACCTCCTCGCAGTGGCGCAGAGCATGCTTCATCAGGGTCGACTTGCCCGCGCCCGGTTTGCCCTTGATCCAGAGCACACCATTGTGGGCTGGTAGGTCGGCGCGGTCGCGCCATTTCCGGAACTGGGCGGTGTCGAACAGCCAGTCGCATGTGCCTGGATACGCAGGAGCTATATCGTGCTGCCGAGCGTCGATGTCGCTGAAGCCGAGAGAGCGGAGGCAGGCTGTGCTCGTTAGCCGTTAGTTTTGCGGCGACTTTCGGGTAAAGGAGGTCCTGATGTGATGAGAGTGTGGGATGGAAGTTAGGCGAATGGCAGTACGAACCTTTTTTTTCCGAAGAACGCGTAGTAGCCTCGTCGACCTGGGGGTTTTCATGGGGGGGTCCTGAGCAATTAATGGATACAGACCCATGGATCGTAGCCCCGGGAAGGTGGATGCCGGGGCCGCCGCTATTGTTCACGGTACCGCCAGGCGCGTTGATTTGGTCGCGGCCGGCGTGCGGGTTCGAAGGATGCCCCTCCATCGTCCCCGCTTGCTCGCGGGGCTCGGCTCCCTAACCGCAGAGTGGCAGGCTACTTTGGAGGGCGGGATTTTCTTAATCGAAATGCCAAAGGATGTGTCCCGTACTTTGATATAGATGTTCAAAAAAGGCACGGCGGGGATCAGGATAAAACTAAAAGTGTGCATGGTCCTAGATATCAAACTACAGGTTGGGGCTGAAAGCCGCTTCGGTGTTGGCGGGGTGGGAGCCGTCGTCGCTGGCACGGCTCATCGCTAGACGCATTTGCAAATGGCGTATTTTTGTTTCCTATTGGGTCCTTTATGCAGAAGGCGGCGCGCTTGAAGCCCAATATCACACCGCCTGCAGCTGAGTTGGGTTGGATGCAGAATGCTTACATGGTGAGAGATTTTCCGGCACTTCCTGTTTTATTTAGTTCCAAGCTTCTCCTTCGCTTGCTTTTCGCGTACGATCCGTCAAACAAGAGCCATCAGAATCCAGCCATTTAAACCATCAAGTCCTCTTCCGTGGAGGGATGGCGGACACGGTCAGCAACTTGTTCGCGGACACGATCAGCGCCGTCGAAGCCGCGGCAAACTACTACAGCTCTGTTAATAATGACAAAAGCCTCCGAGAGGCCTTCCACGAAGCGGGCCGAGGCCAAGGTCTTGTTCGGCAGGCTCTCCAGGCTGCCAACTTGAACCTTGGCGGCCGCAAGCCAACCGAAAAGACCGCAGTGTTAGTTGAGGCGTGCCGCACCAAGGCGAAGCTGTCTGAGGGCATTTTCAAGGAGGCCGCTCAAGCGCCGGAGGGCTCGGGGTTTGACCGTTACAAAGCGGCTGTGGAACAGAACAAGGGAAGCACGGTGGAAGTCCTGACTGTGGGGATGATGAAGGGAATATGTGAACTAGCCGAGGACGATGCGATGAAGGCAGCGATGGAAACCTTGGTTATGGAATTGCGCGACGCGGTGGCCAAGCTGTCAAAGATGGAGCCATCAATGCCAACGGAGGAAGCGGGCCATAACTTCACCAACTTCACCAACCGGGGCCGCGACCAAATCAATGCTCCTAGCGGTACCGTAAATCGCAGTGAAGGCGCCGGCAATCACTTTCCCGGGGCTACTTTCTCTGGGTCTGTGAGTTTTGGCAACTAACCTGGGAAAACGGTTGTTATGGCACGTAGCCCTGGCAGGGCTTGTTTCCAGGCAGGCCCATTTATACACTGTTACCTCAACAATTGCCTTACCTAAAGCAATCGATCCGGACAGGTGCAACGCACAATCTTTCCTTTTTGTTCCTTAATCAGGTAGCTAGCCAATTCAACCAGGAGGGTTGTTGCAGCCCGCCCTCTTCGCCCTCGTTGGTGCCGTGACAGGGTTCGAAGGATGCGGTCGCGGCCCCTCCATCTTGTGGGGCAACTGCGGGGTAGCGTCTCCCGCAGCTCGCGGGGCTCAGCTCCCGATCTGACCTGAGGAGACGTGGCAGGCCGCTGCGGACTTCCAACCCTTTTGCTTGTGGTGTTTTATCGTTGAGAGTACAATTACGGAAGCATGTACGGTGAATCCTGTCGAGATCGTGCTGCTATTATAAGAGCATAACTGGAGACTAGGCTGACAAGAACTCCTAACTGCAAGCGGAACGGCGCCCTACGTAGCAGCTGGCTGTCCAGGCAATACCCGAAAGTGCCCCGATAAGCCGGTCAGCTAGCACGGAATACGCAGAAAAAGGGAACCAATGGTGTACTGGGACGTATCCTTCTGTGTCTTCTCACACTCCGCCGCTAATATTACGCCTCTTACAGCCGACGCCGAAATGCATAGCGAAAAACTCATCGGGCGTGCCGAGTTGCCGATCCGTACGGGAGCAGGTTCGGCTAAAAAATCTCACGAGATATGAGTAACTACCCACCCAGTGGATTCTATCCATGTGCTAGGCACTGGGCGGAAACTTCTGCAGCTTTCGCAGGCGTCGCGGCCTATGCGGATAGCGGCTTTGCAATTTCAATGGTAGCTCTCTGCGGTAGGCTCCATTCGGGTGCATAATGAGAGCAAGTTAGGGCCGTGGCTGTGGCACCGCGAGTAGAATAATAGCTTGCCGCCAGCCATAAACAACCGTCGTGCCCTAGCTACCCGCACACGTTCCTCCGTTTCGCGAGCGTCTAACAAGGCACGAGTTAACGCGTCAAGGCCATCCACGGCTTGGCGACAAACCAGTCATTGTTTCATTCCGCCAGGCACGCCGTCAGGGGCAAGGCGCGACTTTAATCTTTTGGTATCGACTGAACCCACCTTGCTCCGACCATGTGGGGACTGCTACGGAGGCTACGGAGGCGCAACACCCGGCCCGTTCCGCTTGCATTGCCCAACTCAGACTCCAGCTCCGAGGAGTTGCCGACCGTCCTTTTCCCTGAGGGAATCAAGGTTCTGTATGGCGGCCCCGACGCCGCGATCGACATCTGCTTTGTCCACGGCCTAAACGGCGATCGCGAGAGAACCTGGACCGCCGACCGACAGTCCGCGCCCTGGCCGAAGACGCTCCTCCCGTCCAAGCTCGAGGACGCCCGCATTCTCGTGTACGGCTACGACGCGTGCGTCGTGCGAAAGGGCGTTGCCGCCTTGACCCGGCTGGTGGACCATGCTGCGAACCTCCTTGGCGACCTGACGTCGGACAGGGCCCGCTGCGGCGCGTCGTCTCGCCCTCTCGTCTTCGTCGCCCACAGCTTGGGTGGCCTCGTCTGCAAAGAGGCCATCCTTTTATCGCGGAACAACCCCGAGCCCCATTTGCGCAGCATCTTCGAGCACACCAAGGGCGTCCTATTTATGGGCACCCCTCACAGGGGTTCCTGGCTGGCGTACTGGGCCAACTTGTCCGCTTCGGCGCTGGGCCTCGTTAAGTCTGCGAACAGGTCGCTGCTGGCGATCCTGCAGCCGGATGATCAGCTCCTTGAAACCATCCAACGCGACTTCTGGGCCATGGTGCGCGAACAGCGTGAGGCTGGCAGGGCTCTTGAGGTCACATGCGTCTTTGAGGGGCTGCCCTCGTCCGTCTTAGGAAGAACTGTCACGGTCGTGTCTAAGGAATCGGCCACCCTTGAGGGGTACAGTTCTTTCAGCGTTCACGCCGGTCATCGCGATATGGGGAAGTACAGCTCAGCCGAAGACAACGGATTTAAGAGGCTGCTCGGCGAGCTGACAAGATGGCGAGATCAAGCAAGGGATTCGGCGGCTAGCCAGCCTCCGTCGACAGAAGCACAGATCCACGGGCCAGTTGGCTCATCTTTCTATAACTATGGCGGCGACCAAGTCAATGCGCCTGGTGGTACTGTGAACACCAGCAAAGGCAGTGGCAACCAGCTTCCTGGGGCTACTTTCTTAGGAACCGTGCATTTCGGGTAGCGCGAGCGCTTGACGGTATGGATGAGATTGCTATAAAGCGCTTGGCAAATTAGATTCGTTTCATTGCCTTTAATATGTCTTGCTATCCGGTTGAGCCGACTGTTCTCATCAAGACCGTTGTCACGGCACCAACGAGGGCGAAGAGGCCGGGTTGCAACAAACCCTCCTGGCTGTATTGGCTATCTAGAGTTGAGGAATAAATGGAAAGGCTGTGCGTTGCAAGGCTGGGCTCCATTAGTGGGCCTACCTGGCACCAAGCCCTACCGGGGCTATGTGCCATGACACTTATATAGGTTCTCCTTCAGATAAGCCTTGCACGCTTCGAGCTCTCCCAAGGACATCTTGTACAAAGGTGAGTATTTAAGGTCCTTCGGGTCGGTTCCAGGATCCAGCTTTATCCGGTGGTCAACGCCTGATCGCAACGGGGGCAGTTGGTCGGATTCCACCTTGCTGAAAACGCCCAGGAGGTCGTGATACTCCGGAGGAACCTCCGAGCGAACACGCTGTCGCAAAGCCTCGCCGTCCTGTGGCAAAAGCTCCTCGGGGGCCAGTGTAGCCTGCGCCTCCTCAAGTCTCCGCTCCAGCAACTTGTCCAGCTCACGAAGGCTGGTGCAGTCCAGGTGGGCGCCCTTGTCCTTAGTCTTCATCAAGCCGATCGAACCTATAAAGGCCATGTCGCAAGTATGGTCCTTATAGCCTCGACTCCAAATCCCTCGGCATCCCCACCCAGGACAAGGAAGTTCAGATCATTCCGGGAAAACTACAGCAAACTTGACTCCTTTCCCGCCTCTTCGCCGTCCGGCCCAAGTCAGCCGGCCCAGCGGACCTCTCCCGCCCACCGAGCACCATCCCTCGCACGCGAAATAGCCGAAGAGCTTGTCAAGACAGGCGTCGGCCCAGGAACCTTGACCGAGCAGTCAATACTGCTGCAGCTCTCACTCCACCCCATCAGGGTCATATGCAGCGAGTGGGCCATGTACTCGCTCCTCATGGGCCGCTACGTGAAACTGTTCGAGTACTCGACCAAGTCCCTCCAAAAGAAGATATCCGACATCACCGACATCAACCACCCAGAGCACCCGATCAAACTACTCAACAGCTGGCGCCGCAGGGGGCAGCTGGGCGCCGCCAGGACCAAAGCCATCAAGTGGTTCCTCGAGCAGCACCAACCCCGCGCCGAGGACGGAAAGGACCTGAGGAAGAAGTGGGACGCGCTGACACAGGATGTCGACCACGTGGCGCGGCAGATCGGGGAGTACAGGGGCGTGCTGGAGGGGATGGTGCCGACGCTGACGATGGCGATCCAACTCGAGGACGCCAAGCGGGCGGCCGAGGAGGCGCTGCACGTCAAGCAGCTGACGCTCGTCGCGCTCGTCTTCCTGCCGCTGTCGTACGTGTGCGGCCTCTTCAGCATGTCCGAGTACTTCTCCGTCCAAGGGGGCCGCACCTGGCTCTACTGGGCGGCCTCCGTGCCCTTGCTCGTTTTTGTTCTGCTTCTTTCGCTGTCTTGGGTCCGTCCAATGTGCGTTAGAATATGGAGGTCCACACGAAAGGTGTTTTTCGGCCCAGGCAAAAAAGAAAGGGGTAATTAGCGTATCTGGAATTATGGAAAAATGGCCAAAAACGGCAAAAACATACAACACCGAGGATTCCCCAGTGGTCACCCACCTGAGTACTAGTTCAGCCCTCACTGGTTTG